CGAGGTAGGGAGAGATGGAGGGGGGGTCGCGAATCACTTAGTCAGGGTGGCTTTGTTCCGTTTGGTTGCCGGTGACGTCAGCAGTGACGTCTGCTGTCGTCATAGTTCCCCCCCCCCCGCCCCCCATGAGTTGTCGAGTTTGTAACCGCGTGCTGTGCGGCACGATGTCCGTTGTTTCGATCGACGGCCTTGGGGGGGGGGGGGGTGTGGGGTTGGGGAAGCTTATTGAGTAACTCTTTCAGTTGTTCAGAAACGTCGGACATGGTGCCGAACAGCTAGTGGGGTGCAGTTCGATGAACGCATCGGAAATGTATTCAGCGCTCCCGCAAAAAAAACTAGCATCTGAATACAAATTTATTTACAGCGAATAGAAAACACTCAAAGGTCCGCACAGGTCCGTGAAACTCGCTGCTTTGCTGCCACCTTCTAGTCGCCTCGTATGTGGCCCAGCGGGTTTTGAAGTTTCAAAAATCTCGGTGTGATCCAGCTACCCTTGCCTCCACTCAAAGGTGGCTGGATCGCAGGCATGCGCCAACACGCCCGCCTTGTCTCTTCCACAACTTCGCCGACCTTTCCTGCTGACGAGTCTGGATGGAAACAGATTCATCAACAAAGGCCAAGACGCTGACAAGAAGATGGATGACACTGCGGAATAAAATAATAATATAAATCGGTTAAACTCCTGCGTGCGAGCGTGACGCAACGCCTCTACTAATTTCAACGTGTTCTGTGAACTATTATTCACTCCAGCACTTCCTTAAACGCGGAGCACGTCGCATGCATTTTGTGGCGGTGGCTCTGAAGGGTAATAATGCAATGTCAGAACCATGGAGCGGGCTCCTGTGAGGTCCTTGGGTTTTTCGGCACACGTGATTAAAACCAAACTCTTGAGTTGATCTCGTCTTAAGCCCAGTTCATCGATGACTGCACAAAAAAGCATCACATTACGTAGAGCTCGTCACTTATTTCGGCTTATTCCGGCTCTACGAGATTTACAATTTCAGTTTGACAGATGCTCGACATGTTCCCTTGGCGTTGATTTAAAGACTTCAAAACTAGTTCCGTGATTGCCAGCTTCTGGGGCACTTCACTTGACACTGTTTGGGCTAAGTAGTTCATCATATTACAATGTTGAATGGTACTCATGAAAGTTCTACAATCGAATACAGTGATGTTTCTTCGATCTAAAAATCATATACGTCAATAACTAGCAGCGCAGTAGTGAACCCCGCTGTCTGGATTTCATTACCCGACCATGCCTAACACGGATGGCGAGTGATGTCTGGACGGATCCTGGTCCTCACCTTCACTAAACCCGACTCGCCGGTTATGTTGAGAGTTGTCAAACACCCACCGTGTACCCTCTCCGAGCACATTCTCTCCGTTGGCTGCCAATCCATCTCTCGTCTCATCCATTGGTCGTCATTCATTTTCGCGGTGTGCTGCTGGTACGGGTGTCTAATGTGTGTCCCATGATCCATCCGCGTGCCCCTCTTCCTCGTAATGGAAATTCTGATCGTGCATCTCTTCATCTTACTTTGTGGATTTCTCTAAATAAACTATGCAGGCTGAAAGACTGCTCAAATGCCCTGGCATGAACGCCCAACTTACCCAGTGCCAGGCATCCCCCATGCCCCGACTCTTGTCTCAAGCCACCGTTGGTCAATCTCACGCCAACCGCTGGCCAAACGTACGTATGGCCATTTTTGGATACACGAGTTGGGAAGCAGAGCTGCGGTGATTATTCAATGAAATCGATTAATCGACTGCTCCTTTTTGAGGTTGGTTACTCGGGCCCCGTTAAAATTCGTGGTCCACCTCGACATGCTGCCTCCTGAAGGTGGGAAAACCCCCACGGGCCACGCCTACCGCGGGGCAAATGGCGGTTGGGACAATGATGAACTAATGCGTAAATCACGTGGAAAATTGTACAATATATATTTAGTCTTAACAGATATTTTGTTACGTCGAAAGCTTCGTCACATTATTTCGTTTAAAATGAAAACTCATCGGGACAAAATAATTCACGTTACAATTTGCCCGGTAATGCGTCAGCGATGCACACAACACAACATGTGCGTCGTGCCATGAAATATCTAATAAAATACCTGCTTGGTCACCAAATCTTCATCTCTATGTAAGGAACGAAACGGTTAGACTTCTCCACAAATCTGGCTGTCGCTTGATAAAGCTAGTTGTAAAACTGGCGAAACGTCGTACTCAGTTTGTGAATGTTGTGGCTTGGCTCTCCAACACACCGGTGTGCTGTACTCGTGACGAATTGGCACGTTCTGTTTACGTGACAACCCGTACGAGTCGGCTGTGTCGGATGGTGGTGATTTTAACGACACATTTATACATTTACGCGATCTAACCCAAAAAATAAAACCTCTATTATCCTTGAATAGTTTATTTTAAATCACATGCATGACGCCGTCAAGTTCACTCTACGACGTCACGCGACGACGCAGAGGTCACGTGACGGCGCCGAGGTCAAGTGACGTCACCGCCGTGAATAATTTAAGCACTGGTTTTAATCGCCAGGTTTTTGGGCATTCGTTAAATCGATTTAGCCAGTTTTCTAGAGGGAACGTCCCGAATAGGAACACAACTTATTCCAACATTCTGTTCTTGTTGGCTCGCCTGTCCGAGAGTTATCATGGCAACTGCCCCCCTCCTCCCAACCCCCTTCAGTCACCTCCCTATCGGACAGACAAATCTCACGTGTTCATGCTCTCGGCCTTGAAAAGCTTTGGGGGAAAAAAGGGACCAAAACACCGACCACCAAACTTAATATGATGGGATTTGTGTGCCATCTAAATGCCACGCTCACGGAAAACAATGCTGAACATGAGATGGGCGCCGGAGTTAACAGCTCACGGGCAGAGGTAGAATTACATCCGAAAGTCACAACTCATGTGTAAAGAGCACAGGCTGATGGGCATCGGCAGCTTATTTTCTGTTTTCCCTTTTCGACTCCCCCCTGCCACCCCCATCATGTATTTTATTGCTTTGCTTGTTTACCCAGCAAAGCCTCACCGAGTCTCAAGTCCCGTTTTCACGAGGGTCCTGTCAAGTTCTCGATTAAGGTCAACCCCCCCCCCCCCCCCCAACGATCCCCCTGCATATTCCCATTGAGTCAATCGCGGCCGGCACGCGGTTGGCTCTCCTTGCAAAAAAAATACATCGCGGGACCTTTAACGCTCGCCACAAAGCAGATGTGCGCAGTGGGTTCACGGTGAATACGCGCGCAGTAATAACCAAATAAAATAAACATACATTTCATGCGATGGTGTTTTTTGCGTGCAATCATTGGTGACTGGACCGAGCCCATCGGTTTACCTGCAGTAAGGTTGACCAACTCAGCCCTGGTAGCACTCTCAAGCAGCTGCCCAGATTAGAACCCAGGAGTTCAGCAATGGCAGTCCAGCAACCGACTTCTGCACCAACCAGCCATCTTTTTAAACAACGTTTGCACTCGGATAAGCTTTGTTTCAAATTTTACAACTAAAACTGTGATATTCCATGGCTAACTTTAACCTGTAATGATAATCAAGGTCCAAGTTGGCTGCAGAGTGCAGAACAATTAGATCTCAGATACTATAAAACAAACCGATGTTTTATGTTACCTTGGTAAGGCTATGTTGCTCTTTTTCAGAAGCAACCAGACTACAAATGATAGCTCAACGAAGTGGAAATTTCGAGCAGCGAAATACTCTAACAGCACGTTTCTAAAATGTAGAAGCGAAAAACCGGAGGACCCAGAGAAAAATCCACACGACCAAGGAGAGAACATGCAAACTCCTGCCTACCACGTGAGGCAGGTAACATATCGCCACCAGTTGGCTCCGGAATTGCAACATCAGTCAGAGTGGCAAGGCTAAAAATCCGGGTTCGCAGCAGCCCATGATTAAACTGGTTTCCCATCGTAAAACAACATGAAATTTGTTGTTGTTATTTCCAAAGTGTTCAACGTTTCAAAGAAAATTGGTTCGACTGCTCTCAGATGAGCACCATGGTGGCGAGATGTTAACTCCTTTGCCTGGTAGACAGGTTGTGGGTTCAATCCCGAACCTGACGCCTGTATATTGGGAGTTTGCATTCTCCCCGTGGTCACGTGGATTTTTGTCCAGATCCTCCGGCTTTTCCCTCCACATTTAGAAACATGGGTTTAGAGTATTCGACTGCTATACAATTACACATGATAACCCACTTTGTCGAGCGATCATTTGTGGCCAGGTCGCTTCTGAAGAGCTATACAGCTCAGTAAAACTGTTTAGTTTATCGTTTAGTTTTGGCAGGGCAGGTTGGCGGGCGCGCGCCGCTTTGCGCGCAGAGACGGCAGCTGGAAAAAATGACGGTGTGACCTGGACAAGCGGTGACTGCGTTTGTCGATTGCTGCAGAACCATTTGCGGTTCGAAGCACTTGCGGCCGACCTGGTTAATAAAATCCCGCAGGGTTAACAACCCGGGTTAGGCGCCGTCTGCTCCATTAGCGGGCCCGTTAAAGATCTCAGTGACGTCACCCGAGGAGGAGTTGGGGGCCTAATTCGTGACACAAGTTGGAGGATAAGACCCAAAAGTGTTTTCAAGCGCAGCCCAAACGTGCGAAACACACTCGGATCACAACGCGATCAAAGATGGACTGCAGACCAACGAATGCAGGTGCACACAAATGGGTCATTGTGACGTTGGCAGAACAGTAGCATCATATTAAAATCTGATAAGAAAAATCTTATGGTTTTAACATTATGACCATGGCCCATAACGATTCACCCCTCCCCCCACCTCTCGAGATTCCGTCTAAGAATCGATTCATTTTGCCAGTGGTGCATGGAGCGTCTCCACATTGGCTGTGGAGTTTACGCAAACCAGTTCCATAGCAACAAACACGCACACAAATCGAGCAGCGCTCGACACGTAACGCAGACAATTCAACACCCACCCCCGCTTCTCCTGCGTAATAAATGCTTTTAAATCGATGAAGCATACTGCTCCTGTAAAAATGGCGTCTGCATTTATTTTCTTATTAAAGCGTTGTAGGGTGGGGGGTGGTGGAGAGCGGTGGGGGGGGGGCAACTGGGCCTCTCCGCTCGCACAGTTTCAGTCGCTCGGGTCCTGGCAGTCGGTGCAATTTTTCATCTCGTCCATGTAGCGCTCCACCTGGATGGTCGTCGTGTAGAAGCCAAACTTCTTGTGCAGCGCGATCGTCGCTTCGCTCAACACGAGGTGAGGGTCGACAGACTCCTCTGGAAACACACGGGGGGGGGAGGCAGGACGGGGGCAGTCAGAAGTTAGGTCCCGTGAACCCCTTTAGCACTCGTTTTTCCACTCGCTAATAGCATGAACCAAGCAGTGATACTCTATATGTACATATGTTGAACTTATTTCGCACCGTACGTAGCCGACCGCGCTAAAATCAGAGGTGCGGGGGAAGGACAACATTCAATATAAAAAAGGCAGTTAAATAAATTAGTTTTCAATCTATACAATTGGCTGGCCTCAAGACTTCACAAGACGATCAAATCTGGGGGCCAAACGGGGCCAGGGCCAATGATGCGTTTGTTGTGCGCGATGTCAGTGAGTATGGCGCCTGGACTTGTGCCTTGCATGTGATGTCAGCAGCACGGGGTTCTGCAGTATGAAAAAAAAACTACCCGATCCCTGCCAGGCTAGCTATGTACGGCTCTGGTACGTCTCTTGGTTGTTCAGTGGGGAAAACAAACGTAGTCGGCATATCTCTCTGTTATAAGAAAAGTTCAAGACTCTAAATCCTTCCAACATGCCTCTGTCCTCAGAAACGTTCAGCTAGCGCAAAGTTCACCTTCCAATCCGCAGAACAAAACGAAGTCTTGAAGCCACCACGCTGGCGAGATGGTAACTACCTCGCCTGGAATGCAGGTGTTGGGTTCAATCCCGACCCGAGTTTGCATATCGCTCTCCCACTGGTCACGTGAATTCTTCTCCGGGTCCTCCTAAAACCAATGTGCGTTTAGAGTATTTGGCCGTAAAACATTTTCACGTGATGATAAGCCACTTCGTCGAGCTATCATTCGTGGCCAGGTCACTTCTTAAAATGAGCTACATAGCGCAGTGGGCCTTACCTGATGAAATGAAAAACAATTGTTTAGTTTTATAGTTTATGTTGCACACTCGAGATGAAGGAACGTGGGCAGGTGCTCCAAATCGAGGGCAAGCACATTTATTTATTGTGGTTCATACGAATCTTGGGAAGAACAGCACCGTCACTCTGTAAAATGCAACAACGCGTGTGTTACACGCAGCAAATCTTCCGAGACGCCATTAACCATGTGGCTGGTTTACACGTGCGGTTATTCATTAACCCTGCCAGCCACCTACAGGTCTGACTCAGACATTACATGCTGCTGTACACACGTGTTGTTGATGCATTGCACAGCACATCAGGACTTTCACAGAACCACACTTTACTCCGTTGCTGCACAAGGTCACACTTAAAAGAGTGATCCATTCCTGATGTGCCACATTTAGTTTAAGTCGCGCGATGTATGACGACGCCATGCCAGTGCCACGCGACGACGCAGAGGTCACGTGACGATGCAGAGGTCACGTGATGACGTAGAAGTGAATAATTTTAGCACTGTTTTTGAGCCACAGGTATTGGGCATTCGTTTAATTGATTTGGTCAGTTTTCTAGCGGGAACGTCCCGAATAGGAACACAACTTTATTCCAACATTCTGTTCGTGTTGGCTCGCCTGTACACGAGTTATCATGATATCCGCCTTCCCCCCAACCCCACCCAGCCACCCTCGTATCAGACAGACAAAGCTCATGCGTTCACGCCCTCCGCCTTATTTGAAAAGCTTTGGGGAAAAAAATAATAAAAACACCGAGCACCAAACTTAATATGATGGGATTTTTGTGCCGTCTAAATGCGACGCACATGGAAAGCAAAGCTGAACATGAGATAGGCACCGGAGTTAACAGCTCAGACGGGCAGAGGTAAAATTACATCCGGCAGTCACAACTCATCGTGTAAAGAGCACAGGCTGATGGGCATCGGCAGCTTATTTTCTGTGTTGTCCCTTTTCGACTCGCCCCCGCCCCCATCATTTATTTTATTGCTATGCTTGTTTACCCAGGAAAGCCTCACCGAGTCTCAAGGCCCGTTTTCACGAGGGTCCTGTCAAGTTTTCGCGCAAGGGGGTCCTTTCTCTCGACGATTGCCCTGCATATTCCGATAGAGTAATTTGCGGGTCATTTGTCCAACTTGGAATAATTTGGACAGTGACACTGGCACAAGGTTCTCTCACTCCTCGCAAAAAAAAGATGTCCACGGGACCTTGAACGCTCGCTACGAAGCGGACGTGTGCGTAAGGTTTACGGTCAATACGCGCGCAGTAATAACCAAATAACATTCGGTGACAGGATTGAGCCCATCGGTTTACCTGGAGTAAGGTTGACTTACTCAGCCCCGGTAGCAGACTCTCCATAAGCAGCTGCCCAGATTTGAACCCAGGAGCTCAGCAATGGCAGTCCAGCAACAGACTTCTGAGCCAAGCAGCCATCTTTTTAAACGACGTGTAATGACCGAAATTAGCAACCACTCACCAAGCCAATGTGCAGCCTAAAGACGGTTCAAATATAAAGGAGGTCTCCAATTGGTGGAATGAGGCCTCCATGGTGATTGGTCGGGAGGCAGACTTTTAAAGTGATTGGAGGAATAGATGTTATAGAGATTATGGGGGAAACAGATAGGATCCCAGACAGAGATTGGCTCGGAGAAAAACAGTGACAAAAACAGTGCCGTGTCATCGCACTTGCAGAACCTTGTTTTTTGGACCACTCATTGATATGCAAATGTTTTCCCTAACCCCCTCCCTCTCTCTGCCTCCTCCCCCCTCTGTCTATTTAAGGCCACCCCACAGAGATGATCACCCCTCTCTGGTTCCTGTGTTGCTCCCTCTATGTATCTTGGTGATATCTGTCTGCTAATATGTCTGTCTATAGTTTTCTGGTTAGATTTTATGTCGCTATTTCATTATACCTGATGATGATTGCTTGTGTTGCAATCGAAACGTCGTACGCTATTATTTAATTTAATATTTTATCTTTAGACGTGACTTAACCGAAAGAACCAAATAATCAGTGACAGAAGATTCGAGAAAGGGGGCTCGAGAAGTATGAAAAGGAAGAGCACCAGGGTAGGGGACGTTCCAAGGAAGTTACGGGCCGAAGACAAGATCGCAACCTCGGGTCCCGTAGTGTGGCGGTGTCCCAATAAAGTGGCTCTCATTACATCGTTGTCAGAGTCGTTGTAAACGTATGCACTATGTAAACTTTAAAAAAAAATTTACAACACCCAAAACGTCTAAAAAGTAGCCTCAAGTACAGCGGCACTGCCATTCCAGGGCTAATTTTAAGTAATAATCAAGGTCCAAGTTGACTGCAGAGTAATTGGTTCTCAGATACCATTAAAAAAACTTTTTTTTTATGTTGCCTTGGTAAGGCTATGACGCTCTTTTTCAGAAGCGACCTGGACACAAATGACCGCTCAACGAAGTGGCTCCTCATGTGGACATTTATAGCAGCCGAATATTCTAAATGTGGAATGGAAAAACCAGAGGACCCGGAGAAAAATTTCACCGCAAACTCCAAAAACACAGCAGGCGCCAGGGTCGGAATCAAACCCACGACCTCCTGTTTACCAGGCGAGGCGGATAACATCTCACCACCGTGGCACCCTCGATAAAACATGGAACGGATCGGACCATCTCGGAATCAAACCCGACAGGTTCGGGTCCCATCAGTCTCGATGCTCGCATCGGCAACATTGACACAGCGGTCCACACGGAGCGCAGAGCAGTGCTTGCGTATTGCGTCCCCAGGGCCTTGCGCACACACACAGATTTAGCAGCGATGCAAATGCGTGCGATTATTTACACACGCGCTCCGCGGTGTTTTTCTCGGTTGCGAAGGGACCACATTTTTATATATTCTGGAAAATATTAATGACGTGATGCGTTCAGAAAGTGATACCATGTCCCATCAGATGCGCACCTGGTGCTGGCGGGAGTGGTGGGAGAGGTTGAAGGCGGGGGGGGGGGGGGTGAAGTTATAAATAATTAAATGCATTTAATAACCCACAATGCAAACTTCATTTATAAGCGACCTTTTGTGTCTTCGCCAAAAGCAGTCTCTTCATTTCAATTTGCTGCTGGGTGCGCCCACTGACCCTCGCACATTTGTTACGCAACGGTCACGCCGAGTCTTGTTCTGCTACGTGCAGTCAGCAGGTTTTGCTTAAGAGGTCATCGGTTCCCGTGAGGTGTCCAGCCAGCAGGGCAATGATGTCGCCAGGAGATGGCAGTGCAAACAAATAAGCCGCTGACCCCATCTGTCTTTTATCCTCTCAAAATCTCTGTGGGCTCGCTCTCTCTGGGTAATCCGGTTTATCCTCACACCCAAACGCTTAAAACCAACATGCTATTGGCCAAACATCCGATTGTCGCCGGATCGTCCTGTTAATTTTGTTCGAGACTCCGTGAGGCTTTTCTGGACAGGTAAATCAGCTGTTGTTGTTGTGTCGCAACTTCAGGGTCTGGGCAGGTAAAAGTAAAGAAATCCGAACGAGAGAAGCGTTCGAACAAAGGCTCTCGGCAAGTGGCTGAACCAGTGTCTCTTATGCAGTATTAGTCCCCCCCCTTGAGCCACCCAGTGGATGGGATTTTTACATATTCAAACATTGGGGGGGGGGGGAAAGGCGAATGCTAAATGGCAACCAGCCATGGGCCGAATGTCGATTTAATGCAAGAATACTCCATGAGGAATTTGCCCAGCATATATACTTGGCTCGAGCGACAACTCAAAAAGGCAGTCAACCCCCCTCACCAGAAACGCCGCCTTGGCTGCACAACAATAGATACGAGGGCTAACCGTCCCCCTTTCTCGCGAGCAGAGGCAGGGGAGGATCCAACGACGACGTACGGCCGACGAACGCAACTCTTACGCTGGAGTGTGTTGAATAATAATAGCAATCTTGATTTGAAGCTTTCGTGACTGCAGGAATCCATACTCTTTGGTTCTTTCGGTAAAATCACGTAGATATAAAATGAAATAAATCACGACGTTTCGGGCACAACACAAGCGTCCGTCATCACTGTTTTAAAAGGTTTTAAAACAGTTTGCATCAGCAAGGTTTTAAACAGTCTGCCTCAGCAGCAGATCGTGCTTTCCCACCCGATGACGGACGCTTGTGTTGCTCCCGAAACGTCGTGATTTATTTCATTTCATACCTACGTGACTTTACCGAAAGAACCAAAGAGTAATAATAACAATGATAATAAGTGGATAATTTTACGAATGCAGTGAAAGTGATGGCTCTGTATTCGTATGGGGGGGGGGGGGGGGGAGGAGGAAGGGCAACAATAAAAAAAACGTTCTACGAGTGCAGTGAGATTGGTGCGGGACCACGTGCCTTTTCATTATAAACCGCGTTTTCTAAAGAAAATGTATGTGCAGACATGAGCCCAAATCGTGGACACCCTGTGTCGCAACCCATCGCTAGTTACGACATCAAGCGTCCCTTTCCCTGTATCCACGCCCGGCAGGGCCAGCCACAATCACCCAACGAGGATGTTCTCCCTGCTGCTGCTGCTGCGTTGGTACCGCTGTAACGTTTTGGAAGCAGCTCTTTGTTCGTGTGTAGCGCCGCTTAATCCACGTGTTCCCTCCGAAACTAAAAACTATTTCAATAATTAGCAGTCTCTTCTCAAGCACTCAATTCGATCTATGAAATCTATCTCGGGACTAAGAATCTATTTTTATTAGAATAGTTATTCACGAATCGCAGCACCGGAAGATACGCGGCCAACGCACAATCAGGCTGGCGTTGCCACCCGTCGTGGTATTCCCCGGATATTCCATCTCTCTCCGAGATGGCTCTCGCCTAGCCAATCTGAAAGTACTATCCGTGCCAGTTGTTGCCAGTTACATAATAAGACGTCGCTTCAAGACAGTGCATGCACACACGCATTTCTCCCCTCCTCCGCTATCGTGAGATATTCTTCTTCCCCGTAACGCAACCGGAATTTTAGGAAGGGGTTCAGAGAGGCCACCCCAATGCCCCTCCCCCCCCCCCTATCTAAACTAAAAACTTTACTATTTTTTACTTTACCAGATAAGGTCTTCTGAGCTATGTAGCTTTTTTTCAGAAGCGACCTGGCCACAAATGATGGCTCAATATTCTGGCTTATTATAATGTGGAAATTTATAGCAGCAAAACAATCTAAACGCTTGTTGATTGTAAACGGAGGGAAAAACCGGAGGGCCTGGAGAAAAAATCCACGTGGAATCAAACCCACGACCTCCTGTATACCAGGCGAGGTAGTTAACATCTCTCTCCCCCCCCCCACCATTCCTGAAGTCTCACCGATGGCGATGTGCACGGACAGCACGGGCTGGTTCATGGTGAGGGCCCAGAGATGCAGGCTGTGCAGATCGCGCACCCCAGGCACTGCCAGCAGCGATGCCTTCACCTCGTTAAAGTCAATGCCCTTGGGGGTCCCTGCGTCAGGGGTGACGAGGAACGGAGGGGGGGGGGGGCGTTGGAGAGAAATGGGAGAAAGTGTGGCAGGTGAGGGTTAAAGAATGCAACACGTGGACAGCAATTTGGCGATAGAATTGTAATAAAGCCATTCTTTGACAGCCACTTTGTCAATCCACTGCTGGATGAAGGCCTACCCCCCCCCAACCCCACGCTGTGTCGGTCATGGGCAGTTTTTCTGATCATACTTCACCACGTTGGTCAGTGTAGCTTGCTGAAGGAGTGGGGTGGGAAAAGGCCCAGGACCGGTTGAGATATTACCTCGCCACATACGCTAGCCGTGGCCGGGAATCGAACTCGGGTTGCCGGATTCCTTAGGGTGGCGTGCAAACCCCTTGCGCCACCGCTTTCCCCGTAGGAGACTTCAAGAGGGCTTTGAAATTAAAAACGTGTTCTTTTTACAATTTCACGTGCTTATTTGGCGGTGTGGGGTGGGGGGGGGCGCCGGTTTCAGTAAACAGATCACACAACAATATCTCTCCACGCATTGTTTGCGCACGCTCTCATGGTGTGACGTTAGAATTTCTGCCTCTCGAGTTTTTATGTAATTTGTAACCCGGCTATTGAGGGGTGGAGTGATCATTAAAGACACGCACACGGCCGAGATAAGTGGACCACACAACACCGCGGGGTCCGATTTTAATGTCACCGTAACTGATCCCCCGATGCCCAACCGTCACCAGTAAGTTCGATACGGACTGCCAGGGGACTTTTGCCCCAATTGAAGCTGCACTCGCTGGCATCAACGTTGTCCGGACTCTGTCTATTACATCGACGACCCAAGTGGTTGCCAACCCAGCTAACACACGAGAAAATGTTCTCTCTGCGACAGCATTGTGATCGTGGGCTCCGAAGAAGCAGCCGCGCTTTTTAGCGCCAACGATAGCGACGTTGTAACGGCACACGGCCTCCAAACGCAGTGGCGGTGAAATGCGAGAAATCCGAGCAACTTGTGATAGTATGCCCTACCTACTCCTGCTGGTCAGCCCCTCCTGCTGGGTCAGCTCCTACTGCTGGGTCAGCTCCTACCGCTGCGTCAGATCCTCTGTAAAACTATTTTGTTCCAACACCAATGCAGATTAAATGCACCAGCAGGGCAGCGTTCATTTTGTCAACGAAATTTTGTGATGAAAATATGAGTTGGCAAAAGCATTTTCCGTTTGAGTCGACGACAGTTATTGGCGTAGCGATGGCTACAACTCTCTACCAAAGTCTGAGTGAATTCCCCAGACTCGGACTTGACTAGAGAATCCGATGTAAATAAAAACAACTACAAAAGTCAGCACACGGGTGAAAGGGCAGGCTTAACGGGGGGCAGGAGCGCAGACTCATGCACGTACGCACAACAACCACCACCACCGTTCATCACCAAGTAGTGGTGACGTCACAACGCCGCTGGTGCAATGCTAGGTGCACTTTGAGACCACGTGACGTGTCGAAAGCTCGCTGGCAGGTGGTCACAGAACAAACCCAGGTACCATGTCTTGAATGAGGTGACCAACTGGCAGATTGCACCACCTGTGCCAACTTTCTGCGTCTTAGCCGCTCAGCGCTACACGGCCCTCCATTGTTGTTGGAGGGCGACTGCCTCCAACTCCACCGCGGCATCCTTCACGAACCTCATCCTCAGGGGAGGCCGATCTTAACACTGCTGGTACCTGTCATCGGCAAGTCCAATCAGCTACAAAAAGAAAGATCCCCGAGTATAGACTAAACAGACTGTTGGGGCAAGTGCTGTTGTAGTGAGGACCTATGAAGGCCGGCACAGCACATGAGGAGGTGGGTGACCAGCACCACGCCCGACCGCCTTTGTCTCCCTAGTGGCGATGTTTACACACCGGAGCAGGTACTCAATTGAGGCCGAGTCAACCTAGGGGAGGCCCAGGACCGGTTCAGATAATCTATCACTGATGTTGGCTGTGAGCGGGAATCGAACTCGGGTCGCCGGGTTTGTAGCGCAGTGTGCCGACCGCAACGTTACTGCTCCCCAATCAGCTACACGCACACGCACGCGCGCAAGAGACGCACCTTCCATGAGCACCCTGAGCACGTCCCTCAGGATGCTGATCGTGGTGGCCAGCACGATGACTGAGAAGATGAACGTGCAAATCGGGTCGGCTATCTTCAAGTTTGGCTGTCAAAGCACAAAGACAAAGAAAAAGATTTGCACGTCAACAAAGTCAACAAGAACGGCAATTCCCCAAAACGCAACCGTTGTTTTGATTGAGTGACGTGCGGTGTACATCATCGTAGAGTGGTTTTAGGCTAGCGATGCAAATTCTATATTCATATCGCAGGGACCAGTATAGCGAGCACCTATGACGGCCGGCAAGGCACGCGAGGGGGTGGGTGGCCAACACCACGCCCGACCACCTTTGTCTGCCGAGTGGCGTCGTTTACACACAGAACCAGGTTCTCATTTGAGGCTAAGTCGACCTGGGGGAGGCCGAGGACCAGTTCGAATATTCCCCACTGTTATTGATCATGAGCGTGAATCGAACTCAGGTCGCCGGGTTCAATTAGTGTGGCGCACATACGCGTGGGCACACACGCGCGCACACACACATGCACGCACGAGCACGCACGAGCACACGCACCTTGAAGAAGATGATGATGGCAGCGATGAGAACGCCCAGGCTCTGCAGCAGGTCGCCCAGCACGTGAATGAACGCCGCCCTCACGTTCACGTTCTGCTCGCTCTCCTTCCCCCCTCCGTGGCCGTGGCCGTGGCCGCCGCCGCCGCCGCCGTGGCTGTGGCCGTGGAAGCTGCCTGGTTGGTGCAGCGTCACGGCCATGCTGCGGGGGGGGGGGGGGGGGGGAGAAAACGCGAGGAGGACGAGCGCATATTGACTCCCACATTCCCACGTTCCCAAACACATCCACCCCACCCCGCCCACATCCTCCTGGAAGACCGACTCCATATGCTAAACTCAAAACCAAAACTATTTTTTATTTTGCCAGGTAAGGCCCACCGAGCGATAGAGCTCTCTTTCAGAAGCAACCTGGCCACGAATGATAGGTCAACTTATTGTCACGTGGGAAATTTATAGCAGCCAGATCCTCTAAACGCAAGTTGATTCTAGATGTGGAGTTAAAAACCGGAAGGCCCAAAATGGAAATCCACGAGAACACGTGGAGAGAGACATGCAAACTCCAAATATACAGGCATCAGGGGTCAGGATCAAACCCACAACCTCCTGTATACCAGGCAAGGTAGTTAACATCTCGCCACCGCAGCGCTAAAATAGTCAGGTGATTCACCAGAGCCAAGTGAGTGCATGTCACCAGCGCCTTCGCTAGCAGGGCGAATACTTTTAGCACTGTTTTTTTCTAATTGCCAGATTTTGGGACACCCTTCAAATTCAATTTAGCCGCTTTTCTCGAGGGTTATTCCCAAATGGCAACATGACTTCACCCTATAATTTCATTCATCTTTGATCGTTCAACATACAAACATACATCCCCACCACGAGAGTTATCGTGGGCATTCCGTGACGCAGACAGACAGGCAGGCAGATGCCCAGAACCAAGGCTTCGCTTTCAACTTGAGCCAATCACCATCAGCCCTATTCGATCTGCTGAGTGAGGGCCTTCCCCATGCCATCGCCACCATCAGCCATGGTTAATCCACTGCTGGATGAAGGGCCTCCCCCGAGCCCCTCGCAATCTCCCACAATCCCGCAAGGCCACAACCCACCCAGCACTGGCACAAGAACCGGTTGCATCATTTCCCCTCCCGAACGCGTCGGCTGCCCCTCCGTCGTTGATCGCAGCCCTCGACCATCGTCCCCCCCGAGTGACGTGTCCAGCCCCAGGCTCACTTTGCGCACCTCTGCAACGCTGGACGGTAAAGCGTTCTTAAAAAAAAAAAAAAGGGACCGGGCGGTCCTCACATGATGTTGACGCCGACGGCGCAAGCGGCCGTGATGAGCATGACCTCTCCGTCGATGCTGAAGTCGTCGCTCACGATCCTCTGCACCGCCAGGTAGACCAGCACGCCCGTCACCACCCAGATGGACAGCACCGACAGCAATGCTCCCAGGATCTCTGCACATGCACGCATGCACAACCATCATAATAAATTCACATTTATTTGTAAGGCGCCTTCCACTAATGTCTCAAGGCGCCTTGTGAGAATAAGGAAAGGCCGAAAGAGAAGGAGAAGATACATATAATAAACTGACTTAAGATGTAAATCTTGACTTAAAGCTTTCGTGACTGCAGGAATTCGTATTCTTCGGGTCTTTTGGCAAAGTCACGTAGATAGTGTTTTCCTGATGACGACCGCTTGTGTTGCCATCGAATCGTCATAGTTTTGGGTTATTTTGTTATTTCTTTTAATCTATCTACGTGACTTTACCGAAAGACCCCAAGAATATGACTTAAGATGTGTTTAAAGATGAGACTTAAAATTATCCACATTAATCGGATAAATAAACGAACGGTAGGGAATGCCACAACCATGGCGCACAGACAATGCCCGCCCCACCCCAGGGACGCAGCTGGGATTGGGGTACACACAGAAGGGCGAAGTCTGCAGATCTTAACGATTAATTAACCCGTGAATATACGGTGGTGGTTCCAGTCCATGCAAGGCTTCAATAACTAGTGGAAGGCTCTTAAACTCTACTCGTTTCAAGACCTGAAAGCCAGTGTAATGATAAGAGAACTGGAGAAATGTAGTCAAGTAATGGGGATCAGGTGAGCAAACGTTAGCAAGCGCAGTTGATATTAATAACAATGTACATTTGTAAGGCACATTTCATCCATAGATCCAAACGCATCCCACGTGTATGGAAAGCAGGGAAATAAACAGAACCATGGTAAACGGCCAAGGCCAGGGGGTAACGGACAGTTCAAAGAGAGCGAGTTTTCAAGACAAGACTTAAACGTGAAGCTAACAATTCCGACTGTCTCATTAGCCACGTGGACATCATCATCAGCAGTAGCAGCAGCAAAGGAAGAGGAGGAGTGACCTCCCATTGTGTGGGGGTGGGTTTACTGTGGGGGGTAAGAGCAATCGACAAGTTCAGGAGTGGAGTGGGATCGAAATGCTGCAATTCCAGGATCCACGATTCCAGGCCAGGTTTTGCGGGTCACGAATAAGGAAATACATTTGGGCCTACCCGGTCGTAAATGAAGGTCATCTGTCCGTCACCCGTTGACTTTTGGTCGGGCAGCCCCAGTAATGGTGGGACGGGCCAATTCTCCCAATGACTCCTTTACGCTTCAATAACTTGAAAGCATTCCGCCCTCGTTGGCAATGACCCTCAATCCATTAGGCGCTGTGCGTGACCGAAGTGACGTACCAATTCATCGAGCCGAACAAATTATTACACTTACGACGCAATAATTAAGCCACGCAACCCCTCTCTGCTGGTGGAAGAGCTTCCACGAGAGGGATTTCTGGAGGGGCCCTCTCTAAAGCCATTCGTTTATGCAAACCCAAATTTCACAAGTTCAAACTTATAGCACCGAATTTCATCAGTCTCTTGCACCTGCATATCCACGATGTGAACGCACTCATGAAGTTTGCAAAAATGTTAACTCGTGGCCAGCGGAAAGAACAACGAAAAAAAACCTGAAGCAGTGGCGTTTAAAAAAAAATCGCAAATCCCCAGTGTTGGCAAAACGCTGGTTTCACGCGTCACTATTTGTCGGTAACCCAGTTCCAGATTGAACGAGAAAAATCTTGAGTTGCCGCAATGCCGCGGCCACGAACCGTGAGGCACGTGCACACAGGTGTACTTGTGCAACCCGTTGTGTCAACCTACTTGCTTGCTTTGGGGAAAATGCCTCCCAAAATCTTGCCAGCCACGAGACATATTTGACCATACTTCATCACAACGTTGGTCCGTACAAGTTGGCGATTGTGGAGGGGGGCAGGGATTGGGATATCATCCCACCCCTGAGTGGACAGCGATGGCTATACCGTACTGGTGAGTGCCAATGATGACAAAATCGATATGCAGTTGCCTTGGTGTCTTGCAGTTTCTTGGAACTCCCGGCTATCGCATTGCAGAGTGCACAGTTATTAGCCGAATGTCATCTTGATATGCAGAGCGTAAGGAGATTTTCCCATTGAGCCGTGCTGTCTGAAACACGTTTATTGCCCATGTCGCTATCGAATAACTGCGCAATCAGCGATAAGCGTGGCACTGCCGTTGTAGTGAGCACATCCCGAACGGGGGAGGGAGGGGGGAAGCGGACCTTGAGCAAAAAGTCATCGACAAAATACCTCAACACATCATTCCCAGCACCTCAGATTAGCACGGTTCGCTAGGACAGGTGCCAAAGAAGTTCAACATACATAGACACGCATACTTTTACGTCCGTAACGGCTACTATTGTTGTCGAATGAAAACAACCAAATCACAATCTCCCTCCGATAAACACGATGGATAGTTTTGTCGGCATTTTTCAAAAATTCTTCACATTTTAAAGCCTTTGTGCAGTAATGCGCGACTTCTTTTTTCTAACCCCTGAACAAATCGCTTGGGGTCTTGTTGAAAATGACGATGTTCTGGTTTGTTTGGCACAAGGCGCAGCCCTGCAAATGCTCGCTTTATCCGAAATGGGTCGCCACTAGAGAGAACTCGAGGGAGATTCTCCAGGAACTTATTTCATTTTTCACGAATAATTTTAGCTTGGGAATAGCACACAAATACTCACATTCAAGGGGGGGGGGGGGGGGGGTGCTGCGTGAATATTGGTGCGTTAATTTCAACAGCTGGTCCCGTTTCTTTGACGACGACGTCCAAAGTAATTCCTTTCTTGTTCAACGGCTTCCCCATTTTGCATGTTGTGAAGGGCTGCCGCGGACAGGGTCGTGGCTGATGTTGACGACCCAGAGGCTCACCAATTCCATAAGCCCGATAGTAAACAATGTTACACGATACACCCGCAACAAGCAAAAAACATGTTATTCGCACATCAATTCCTCCTTTTATTGGACAAAAAGGGTTCAAGTTCTGAAATGTGAGGAACGTGACAGTGGAGCCAAAAAGTGTGCGACTGATGTTTGTGCATCCACGCAACTTTGTTGCATTTCATGTCCTCCCTCGGGAGGCGTTGTGCCGCCATGACCCCGGTTGCAGTTACATTTGTGTCCACGTGTCCGAACCAGTCGGAATGTGCCCCCGGCGCCACCGGGAGAGAGATGTTAACTCGCTCGCCCGGTATACAGGAGGTCGTGGCTTCGATCCCAACCTCGACGCCTGCATATTTGGACTCTGCATTTTCTCCCCGGTGTTCGTGTAGATTTTTTTCCCCATCGGGTCCCTCCGGTTTTTTCCCCCCTCCACATTTAGAAACACGGTGCTATACATTCCCACTTTGTTGAGCTATCATTTAATGGCCAGGTCGCTTCTGAAAAAAAAGAGCTAGCTGCACATTGAAAGAGCAGCAGCGATTATCAATTGGGTGTTCCATCCTCCGAGGCTGCGACTACCATTATGGATGGTAACAACTGTATCATGTCTGTGGCAACGTTAACAAATAGGCAGAACAACTGTATGTATAACTTCCTTCGCACACCGTACATAGCCAACCGTGCTAAATCAGGAGGCGCGGGGGACGTGAGAACGTTTGTGACGACGGCGACGGGAGCGGTAGTAGGCCAGTCGATGTGTCGGCTCCAGTCACAGAAATCGTTCAAATTGTTATTACTTAGTGCAACGACCCTGTGTCTTACTGCGGTTGTTGTTGTTATTTTTTTACCTGCTCGGAACCACCCAAAGTTCATGTTCTTGGTTGCCGGCCTGGAGGAAACCCAGAGGGAGAAGAGACTGATGAGGAAGCTCGCAAAGTCCGTGAGGAGGTGAGCGGCATCCGTCATGATGGCCAGGCTGCCGGCCAAGTAGCCGCCTGTTCAGAATCAGAGTATTTATTGACACAGGAGGAATCCGATGAGCTATAAAGCTCTTCTCCACAGATATTCAGTAAGGGGGAGGGGGGGGCAGGTCATAACGTTACAACAAACATTATAACAACATGATAGAAGTACAGAGTATAGGACAGGTCAACAAATCACTTTAAACATATACACAAATAAAACTAATTTTTTTTATATCACCAATTAAAGCCCACTGAGGTATTAACTTATTTTTCAGAGGCGACCCGTCCACAAATTATAGCTCAACAAAGTGGCTCATCACATGGAGATGGTGTAGAGGGGAGTGGGATTTGGGAATCGCACAGCCCACAACTTCATTACCCTACGGCCCATGGTGGACACGTGGCTCGGGCTATAGGGCCCTGCCACTTAGAAACGTGGACTCATAAATACCATAACTTTTGTTCGACATTGTTGTCTACATGTGCCTTAGGCAATCTTCATCATTACAGGTCCCACCTGATGATGGACGCTTGTGTTGCGCCCAATACGGACCAAAGAGTATGGATTCCTGCAGCCACGAAAGCTTCAAATCAAGATTGAATCTTAATCATTGTTTAGACTGCAGGAATCCGATGAGCTATGAAGGTCTTTTTTTTTTGTCGAGTAAGGGTGGGTCAGCAAGTTACAACAAATCTAAACAATTTTCGGTGGGCGGGTGTCTGGACACCCACAATGGCTGCATGCCCCCCCCCACCCCCCTACTCTGTCCCTCCCGCCACCGACCCCTGGGCCCCGGTCGCACCGCCTGTGCACTCGACAGCAACGTTGGCGCACACCCTCACCGACGATCTCGCCGATCATGAAGACGAGGCACACGAAGGAGGCGATGTAGAGCTTGCGCTTGGCTTGCTGCTTCTCGCGGTGGCGCTCGCCGCTCAAGGAGCGGTCGGCGTGGCAGTGCCACATTGCCATGTCGAGCGACACCGACGGGCTGGTGCCTCCGATCACGCAGGCGCTGCGCACGGGGGAGAGGGGGCGTGCGGGGGCCGGCGTTAGATCGGACCAGCCGGCGCTGGTGCACTGTGGCTGTTGTGGAGGTGCATTATGGGTGCTTTTAGAAAGGACACGGGCATCTGGCATGGTAACGTTACATTTGTAGCGAGCGACTTCCGACACACGTCTAGTAGAAGGCTCTTTATTTATTAAGAGCACACAGGACGATACATTTCGTACCGCGGCTACACCTGGGCTGTCCAAACACGCAGCCGATCTCCGTTGCTGCACTACGCTGGCTGGTTGAAGAGCGTAGTTGCCGGGACGAAGCTGATCTTGCAGAAGAACAGCCACGTGGTCGAAGACGAATAGATGACGATGGCAGCGACGCAACCAGGACCCAGACCCCACTCTAACAGAGGTTCGGTGCTCCTTATATCTGCCTGGCACGAACACGCTCCACCTCTGGCCACGCCCCCTTTCCAGAACCTTCGGGTTGGTTCCCGGAGCTTCTCGACTGACTCCGCCCTTGACCTTTGTCCCAGTTACGCCCCTTCATAATAAGGCATTAAGTAATGCAGCTATAACCGTAATTACCCCTACAGGCCGGCAGGTGTCACCCTGTCATTACACATTGAAGACTCGCAAGATTGTCAGGATTATCGCCATTCATGGAAAAACACGAGAAGGGCCACCTGGTACCATGGGGTTACGCCCTGCCACGCGCACCAATGCCACGGCTTTCACACGCACAACTGAGCAAAGTAGAGAAAATGGATGAGCACGAGTCATTCTGTGGGGGAGCCTTCGGCTGTTAACCCCACCCCCCATCCCCCTCCCGTTTGTTGGTTTTCTCCAGGTACGCCAGATTCCTCCCACTTGAAGACAAATGCTCATGAACGGAATTGTCCAAACAATCTAATATAAGCAGTGCCCTAGCAGATTCGATTCAGGTTTCCAGGGTGAGCCACATGTTTATGTAAAATATGCATGGTAATGCCTCTTATTCGGACAATGGCATTGTAATCTCTCACCGTCTGCACTCAATCTGACCTCCTTCCCCTCCCTTCATCACCCTCACCCGCTCGGCTCACCACACACAGCTGCTCACACTCTGGCACCGTCTTCCATCACCTCGCCGAGCACGTTTCACTCGCACCCGTCACCCTTGAAAACACATTCCTCCTGCGGAGGGAGCTGGTAGGAACGTTGGGTTGCTCGGTCAATGGCCAGGGTCAACGGCGGCATGGTGTATTCCGCAAATATGCCCGACTGTGAGTGCAGGCACAAGCCGGCGTGAGTAGGTTAAACGTTGAGTTTTATAAGGGCACCACGGGGTGACCAGCCCCTCCCCTCCCAGCCCCACCCCTCCCTCCCACCCCCCAGCCCCACCCAGCCCCTCCCCACCCAGCCCCTCCCCACCCAGCCCCACCCTCCCCACCCAACCCCATCCTCCCCACCCTCCCCACCCAGCCCCATCCCACCCAGCCCCACCCCTCCCATATTTGGATGCCCGACGGACGGACACAATAATCCCCTGTGGGCTGGTGTAACCTGGCGGTTCCTACCAGTAACAAAATCATTTGGCCAGACATCCCAATGAAGGGAATGCTCCTTCAGAAAGCGTCTCGAGTCTCGGCGGTGTTTTCCTGGGTAGGTAAACTGGGCCATTACACCAACCATTCCAGGCTGACCGATTGACACCAGTGCGGGATTATCCTAGTAGCACAAGTAGCTACACGTGTAGCTACGAGCCCCGCACTTTCAAGGGCCCCGCGCTGAATGCTTTCAAGCTATCAATTCCGGTTCAGTGATTTTGCACTTGCTCTATTACTATAGTACTACACTGCCTTCAACTTTTATGAACGACTGGGTGTTTAAGGTTAGCAATTTGTCGTATTGTCTGGCTGTATAGCAAATGAAAAAATACAATTACTTTACTATGCAAGTAAAAAAATGTGTGTTTGAATATTTATGTGTTTTTTTAATGTAGGGCCCCTTTATAAAACACATGCTACAGGCCCCGCACCAACTTAATCCGGCACTGACAAGCGACAAGACATTCTTTGCAAGGCGTTGCGAAAGGTGCCGTCCCCTCGTGGGGCTCAAGGAGAGGCCGAGCGAAGTGACTTCACGAGCGCGGGTTTCAGGCCACGTCGTCTCTGCCGGGGAGCCGTTGGTTCACCGCGGCGAGAGCTCCGAATGAAGAAGCGGTGGGGTGGGGTGCCGGGAAAGATCACGAGGCCCGACCCTGCGGGATTGCACGTGCAGTCTCTCTCTCTCGCCTCCCCCCTCTCCTGCGTGGTGCTCCCACCGAGCGCTGCTCCCAGACACAAGGGGGCTCTTTGACTCCCCCGTCTCCACGCGCTCTTCTCGGGCCACGTGCTCCCCACCCCTCCCACGCGCGCGCATTCCACACGAAGCCCATGTGACGACGGCCACACGGCGTCGGGGCCGCGTATTCAACCGCCGCAGTCGAGGCCCTTCTCAGCCTTCGTGCCAGCGAGGCCGCATGCCACCGGGATTGCCCGATGACAATCTTGTCTGCGCGTGTGAGCGGCATTGCGCTATGAACCCACGTGCAACCATGTAACAATTACACGTACGGCCCTCTTTGTCAATCCATCGCACGACGAGGGGGGCCTCCCTCCCCACGCCGTGCGGGTTGCGCATGTTGTTTGACCATACTTCACCAAGCCGGTCAATGCGGGTTTGGCGAAGGTGGAATACATAATGGATGGTTTTGCTGGACTACCCTCTGCTGCCCACAATGCTTAGTCCGCCTGGGGGGGGTCACCCATACAAGCACTATCGAGGCTCGATCCTTTTTGCGCGTTTAGTTTGTTCTCCTTCCTCCGATTGCGTACGGTGTGAAAGAAGTTCCACATACACGCGCCCCTGCTTGGCTTCTTAACATCTGGCGAGCTCGGGTGCATGCCGGGTGATTTGGTCACCGAACACGAGACAACAATAATACAAATTAAATCGTCATCACAAATGTCTGCCAGCCGTTACTCGGTCGCGATGGAGAGTAATAACGTCGAGGTTTATGGGCAAACTCCTTCATTCACACACGACTCAACGACATAGATGTGATGGACGCATGCCCTCATTCAGTTGTAGAATTCGCGATTCATAACGCCTGTTGTTTAGTCAGGAAGTGCTTGTTCTATTGACTCGCCCCCGCCACGGGGAATGTGAAATATCTACCCGGTGGTCCTGGGTTCTAAACGGGATGCGAGCAGCACATCAAGCGCTCATTCGAGTCACACAATGCAACGTCCACACATATGGGGGGGGAGGGTCAGCAACCCTCCTGCTGTACTGCCATCTCCTGGTCAATTGGCAGCCCGGCAGATTAGGGAGTCACGCGGCATATTCATGCGAACTTGCCAACCCTGCCGATTTAAGCGGTTGGCGGCCGATCGTGTAGCACCCCTTCACTGCCTGCCAATTTACGAAGTAAAAATGTTGTCAAATGTTTCAATATTTCCCACCCCCCACCCAGAATGTTCTTCAGCGGAACAATCTCCTTTGGCCCTGCCTCTTGACACCCTTAACAGTGACCATGGGGCCGTCCATAAATGACGTCACGCACCTAGGGGGGGGCAGACATTTGTGACGATGTGTGACGAGGGGGTTTGAGAAATGTGACGTCACATTAAAATTCTCAACTTTAAATAAATATAGACAACACGTTCTACTTTTTCATAAATGTTTTCTCCTACAACATCAGAGTGCAGCGCCACATTAAATACGCACTACAATGACAATAGTTTAAAGCGATTTGAAGCATGTTTTATTTTGGAGGTGGGGGGGCAGAGCTTTGTGACGTCATATTTGAGGGGGGTCTCACTTTTTGTGACGCCGTGTGACGAAGGGGGGGGAGGGGTAAAAAATCGTCCAAAATCGCGTGACGTCATTTATGGACGGCCCCATGGCACAGCGACACGAGTTCGCGGATCTGGACTCCTTCAGGGTAACAACTCAAATTTAATGCCAGCTTTATTTTTGGGCGGTCATTGATGACCAGGCTGAGCAGGACAACAACTTATCGCAACTCTCGAATCTGGTTGAATGACCGTGGCAGGTGAAACACAGATTCAGACCCCACGATATAACCAGCGGCGCGGGGTTCAACATTGTTCCGACACGGCCATCAGGAATCCCCCCTCCCCCCCAAACCACTCTGGTACTTTAACCTGTCGTAATTGTGAGTGCAGAGTCATTGGTGGACAAAGTGCAGACATTATCAACTCCGCTACACTTGCGATATCCCGGATTCAAACGCGGGTGCTGTGCAGTGCTGGGCTCGGCAGCTCTGACAATATTCATTATTAATCTCGCCCCCTCTCCCCCACGGCTAACACTGCGGTAGGGGCTAACAATGCGGTAGGGGCTAACAATGCGGTAGGGGCTAACTCTGGTGCGTCTACCGTAAGCACCACGAGCTTGCCGAACAAGCCGTAACTTCACAGTTCACCTGTGGACTCCCGATGGGTGTGCCGAGCTCGTAAAAGACTGCTGTAATAGAATCCCGATCTTAACCAGATCCATCGCACTGTCCTCATACGTAACCCCCTTAGCACCAAGCTGAACGCAAAATCCTCTCGGTATCAAGTAAGCTTCATCTGGACAACGCTGCGGTAAGTTTATACAACTCTAACACGAACCCAACCGTAACCAGAACCCCAACCCAACACCAAACACTAATCCCAACTCCAACGCAATCCTAACACAAACCCTCTGCCTGAACACAACAACGCCATGCCTAACACAACAAACCAATAACTAACACTAACAACAGTAAGCATATCGTATCTCTTACGACAATAATAACCAAAATCATTACCCATGTGCTCCATCCCCGACTCCGGCAAGTAGCCTCCGACACCAAGTGCAAATTGTACGCGTTACAAATTAGCATTACGATTCAAACCCTGGCAGTAAACACAACATTACGGTGGGGCAGTTGGGGGTGGCTGTGTTGATTTTTTTTCAAACTTTTAAAACTGCACCTTCTTCAAGTTAGTTAGTGTTCCCTCTTCCCCATTTTGAAGAGCGCCTTTCTGAAGAGCGGTCCACGCTCAAGTCGGCAGAGAAGCGGCCGACGCCGCCACGCCAGCGAGATGCAGCACGGGCAGAAACAGAATGAGAATGGTTTGGTTTTCACATACCCGGGGAATCCGATGAGCTATAAAGCTCGTTGTCACATATCCAGCAAGGAGCGGGTAAGAACGTTACAACAACAACAAACGCCGTTTTGGTGGGGGGGAGGAAGGGGGTTACTTTCCGCATCATTGCAGCGCAACAACAGAGTCAAGTTACACGCGACTCACCGGAGCGGTGCGCTTATCAGGACGGGGGTGGAGATGAAGACGATGATGGTGGTGATCGTGGTGGCGATGATGGAGGGGTGTGGGGGGCCGTGTATTGAAGAGGTTGCGAGTTGGGCACAGGTCGAGAGCTCACCTGTCGTCTTCACCCGTGTACGATCTACTCTTCGCAACGCCCAAGAGACCCGTCTTCTCAGTGCCGTCCTTCATCTCCATCGCGATTCCACAACCTCGTGGCGGCCTGGCCGACTCCCCTCCAACCGCGTACGTCGTGGGCTTCCCCTCGCCTCCCCTCGCAGTCTCTCGCCTCTAGCCTCCCACCACACCACCAGCACCACCACCCCGTACTTTTACTTCCCCTCGAGCCTGCCCTCTTAACAGCCAAGCCTGCCCCCCGAGGTGGAACCACCGGGTTCACGGTTGAAATTCGAGCGAATGTGAGACACCGCGCGTTCGTGTCCGTCCGGTCACCCACGCCGTATGAACGCGCCTCGTGTCCCTTTACCGCGTTATTATTATTAATAACAACAATAATAATAACGAATGACTCGACCGAGGAACTAATTGCTTCGAATTGCCTGGCGTCGCATGGGTCGCGAATGTTGCAGCGCGCACACACGCACACGCACGCGGGCTGGAACAAGGCGCAGAGTGGAGTGTCCAAGGGCACTTGCTGCTGCTGCTGCCTTCGTCTGTAATCGCGCTTGCTGCCTGCTGCCGACCCGTGTGCAACACCACCCACAAGCACGCACGCGCACCTCAACAACAAAGAGACTTGCACACGGCACCACCACCAAAGTTGCAAGCGGCACCAATAGCTTTTTTTTTTGAAGTGGAGGGGGGGTGTTACCGAACGATAGAGATGCAACTTTGTTATCACCCCCCCCCCCCCAAACCCAGACGACAACCGCCTACCTAACCAACACCTCACACCCACCCCCTCCACCCCTGCCTTGCTGATGCTGTGACATGATCTCCGATGTTCTCTTTCACCGGTGCTGGCAACTTCTTCGCGAACCGAATGACAGCAGCGTTCACTCGATTCAGTTCCACGAAGAAGAGTTGCGCAGACTATACAGACAGGGTGTTCGGTTTCGGCGGAAAGCTCCCAGCGCGTGGAGAGCGAAACGTCGGACAACATGGCCGTGCAGCAACATTGGAGAAGTTACACCGCAACACCGGCCACAGTGCGGTGACGTCACGCACATTAACTCCTCACAAGGTTCCACTTTCATTCCGCCTTCCTTCTGTGCGGTGGTTATTCGGGGTTGGTGCGGTTAACTTGGGGGTTATTTTTTTCCTAGCATACTTTTCCGGAGTCTCCACAGGTGGCAAAGGTGGTGTTCACTCCCTCGCCAAGGATGCAGGAGGTCGTGGGTTCGATCCCGAACCTGACGCCTGCTGCTGTATATTTGGAGTTTGCATTTTCTCCTCGTGGCCGCGTGGATTTTTTTCCGGGTCCTCCGGTTTTTCCCCTCCACGTTTAAAAGGACGCTTTTAAAGTATTCGGCTGCTGTACATGTCCACGTGATAAGCCACTTCGCTGAGCTATCACTTTTGGCCAGGTCGCTCCTAAAAATATCGATATAGCTCAGTGGGTCTCACCTGGTAAAATCATGAAAAGTAAAAGTATCAAACTCAATTTGAAGCGTTCGTGACTGTATGAATCTATACTCTTTGGTTGAGTTGTAAAAGGGCACGTTAATAGTTAACCACACGGTGACAGCGAGATGGATACTTGAAGTGCTCGTGTCGAGTGGAGTTGCAATTGATTAGCCGGCCGAGTTGTCCTGAACTATGGCACACACCACGTGGGGCCGGTGTGGTATGCAGCACGTGGAGCCGTGTGCAACACAGCACGTGGAGCCGTGTGCAAAACAGCAAGTGGGGCTGTATGCAACACAGCACGTGGAGCCGTGTGCAACACAGCACGTGGAGCCGTGTGCAACACAGCAAGTGGAGCCGTGTGCAACACAGCACGTGGAGCCGTGTGCAACACAGCACGTGGGGCCGTGTGCAACACAGCAAGTGGGGCCGTGTGCACACGAAGTTTGGAGGGGATTGACACCACCACACCCCTCTCCACCCTCATTCCTTAACTGTCTCCCTCCACTCCAAAATGGAGAAGTGGGGGAGCTTTGCAGTGATAACACTGTGTAACCAAAAAACGTGGTTTTTTTCTTTCTGGATAGTAAGTGTTATTTCCTAATTTCTTATGCCTCAAAAGTGCAGAAAATGGCTAATATTCCCCACAAACCTTGCTTTTGGAAATGTACCTATTTTCAATGAGAAAACGTGTACATTTGTGTCTTTCATTCACAAAGTCCTGGTCACAAATTAAAAGTTTGTGGGGAATAATAGCCATTTTCTGTACTTTTGAGGCATAAGCATTACAAAAAATAACACTTAGTAGTTAGTACCCAAGAACAAAAATTATGTTACATAGTGTAATTAGTGCAGAGTAAGGCCATCCCTGTTCTCTGGTGTGCGGTCGCGGTCAAACCCGAATGCACGTCAGACGAGCCGTACGCAAGGGTAACAATTGGACAATTCTAGCTGTGTGCACGGTCTTTAGCTATTCCCGATGCGAGGGTTGGCAGAACACTTCCAATCCCGCTGCATGGAGGCCGCGGGGTGTTTGCTAATGCGTTGGCAGTCGAGAACGGCCACTGGGTTCAGGAACCCATCTGCACGGTCCCTTAGCATCCCCTCTTATGTTTGGTTATTTAATAATTGTATGAGTTGCTTGCTTAACTTTTCTCCGTCTTAACTCTTGTAACTTTCTGATCCCGGCTCCGACTAAGAATCTGTGAAAAAGTGCTTCGTGGCTCATCAGATTCCCCCAGGATGAAATCATATTCTGATTTCTCCCGCACACATTTCTAACTCCCTCCCGAACACACGAAAAAAACAGTTTTGAAAGTAAATAAAATTCAACTTTACCGGATAAATAACATTACAGTCGCGTATAGACGATATCAGCGCGAGCGTGCTTTGGGTGTCGCACATTACACGGTAACGAAACCCGTGGGCCTCGCCTAGATCGACTCAGCCTTAAACGAGCACTCCGAGCGGTGTGTTTGTGGTTGGTGATGGAGCCACCTGCCCACTCCCCGTTGTTGCATCAATTTGAACACTTTGTGTTCATGGCCAGAAACTCGTGAAGGAAGTGAAGAGTGAGCGAGAGCGAGCCTTGTAAAGTAAAGACCGGATGGATGTCTTGAGTAAGGATGTCTCGAGTAAGGATGTCTCGGCTCTTTTAAGTCGGCGGTCTACCACCGGCCAAGGCCGTGTGTGCATTACACACGGGTGGTGTCACGTGCTTCGTCTGCTGCTGCTACTGCACGCAGCGCGTGCGTGGAGCCGTGTGCACACGAGGAGTCGCTGGCGGAGTGCGGCGCTGGTGGTGGAGGTGCGGCGGCGGTGGTGGTGTAGGGGAGTGGCGGTGGTGGTGGTGGTGCAGGTGCGGCGGTGGTGGTGTAGGGGTGTGGCGGTGGTGGTGGTGGTGCAGGTGCGGCGGTGGTGGTGGTGGTGTAGGGGAGCGGCGGTGGTGGTGGTGGTGCAGGTGCGGCGGTGGTGGTGGTGGTGGTGCAGGTGCGGCGGTGGTGGTGGTGATGGTGCAGGTGAGGCGGTGGTGGTGGTAGTGCAGGTGAGGCGGTGGTGGTGGTGGTGTAGGGGAGCGGCGGTGGTGGTGCAGGTGCGGCGGTGGTGGTGGTGTAGGGGTGCGGCGGCGGTGGTGGTGGTGGTGCAGGTGAGGCGGTGGTGGTGCAGCGGTGGTGGTGGTGTAGGGGAGCGGCGGTGGTGCTGGTGGTGGTGCAGCGGTTAGCGCGCTGCGCTACTGAGCGGGCGACTCGAGTTCGATTCCCCCAACACCTGTGACGATTATCTGAACCGGGCTTGGGCGCTCCCCTAGGTCGACTCAGCCTAAAAATGAGCATCTGTTGCGGTGTGTAGACAAAGGCGGCTGGGCGTGGCGATGGCCACACACCCCATCGTGTGACGTGCCGGCCTTCATAGGTGCGCGCTATCAGCACTTGTCCCCCTTTGCCTTCGGGGGTCGGGGATGAGGTCACACCTCAGCACTTCCTTCCCCTCTTCCTCCACCCACGAGGGAGAAGTTCCTCCTTCTTTACTTTGCGCGCACGACGCCCGTCAGGCCCCAGGCAGTGTTTCGGATGCGAGGGCTGGTGGATCGCGCACAGACCGTTTGCGAATTTCTCAAACCCGCCGACTCGGAAGCCAAGCAAACCTGAACTTGGTTGTGCATCGCATGTCCACGGCAGATGGATGCGACTTCGAGAGCTGATCGCGAGCACAATTAAGACATTCCTGCGGCGGGAGCTGGTAGAAACGTTGGGTTGCTTGGTCAATGGCCAGGGTCAACGGCGGCGTGGTGTATTCCGCAAATATGCCCGACTGTGAGGACGGGCACAAGCCGGCGTGAGTAGGTTAAACGTTGAGTTTTATAAGGGCACCACGGGGTGACCAGCCCCTCCCCACCCAGCCCCACCCCACCCAGCCCCACCCCACCCAGCCCCACCCTCCCCACCCAGCCCCACCCTCCCCACCCAGCCCCTCACCACCCTCCACACCCAGCCCCTCCCCACCCTCCCCACCCAGCCCCTCCCCACCCTCCCCTCTCCACCCTCCCCTCCCCACCCAGCCCCTCCCTGCACGACGGACGGACACAATAATCCCCTGTGGGCTGGTGTAACCAGGAGGTTCCTACCAGTATAACGTACGCATCGGTACATGCCTACCTGTCTCCAATCCGTGACGACGCAGCCCCGCTGTCTTCGTCTTGTGTCTCCCACTCCTCTGCCTCGGTCTCGTGTCTCCCACTCCTCTGCCTCGGTCTCGTGTCTCCCACTGATGTACCCATCATCACGTTGACTCTGCTCTGTGATGTTTATGAGCAACTTTTGGTCCTCGCGTTACTGCCGCTGACTCAAACAAATGACCTGCCGTTCACACGCACACACACACAAAATCCCGCTTGTTTATGCTGTGTGTTAGTAAAATGAATAACAGTAACAAACTGTAGTAGCCCTTTTGTCAACCCGCTGCTGGATGAAGCCCTCCCAATGTCGTGTCGGTCATGGGGGGTTGCTTGACCATACTTCACCATGCTGGGCAGTGCACATCTTGCGATGGGCCGTGGGGGTGACCAGGATCGGTTTAAGATATCGCTCGTCGCTGTTGTTGGCCGTGGCCGGGAATCGAACTCAGGTGGCCCGGATCCATAGCTCCTCCAACCACCTGCGTGTTAATATTTAACGTTGTACACGGGGGGCACCGCCTGGAGAAAATCACACGGATATTATTGACTTATTGCGTCAGGGGGCCTCTTGCAGGAGGACACGTCACTAGAACAGCAGTAACGGACAACGGTCGAGGCCAACGATGGAGCGACAGTCAAAGGAGCGAACGCGCCCGAGGAGATTGGAGCTCTGATGTCAGCCCGCGTGCAGGTACCACCAGACGGATCGTGTGCATCGTGATCGATGATGAGAGATGAGCACTTGCTTGGAAAGGCCTTGATCCCGCAGTGGATTGATCGTGGCTGATGATGATGATTTATTTGCATCATCAACTCGAGAAACAACATGCATAATGCAAGGAACAGTAATTCACAATAAAATTAACAAAGTAACTCTCACTTTCCGGAAGGGCATGACCTTGACCTGAAGAGCTGGCAAAACAAAACCCATTTCCTATCATGGAGTTGAGAATTGCTCGCTAGACACCTGCCGAACAACATGTCTGTATTGCAATGTGTCTAATAGATCTGACGATAATACTGGTAGGAACCTCCTGATTACACCAGCCCACAGGGGAGTATTGTGTCCGTCCGTCCGTCGTGCAGGGAGGGGCTGGGTGGGGAGGGAGGGGCTGAGTGGGTGGTGGGAGGGGTAGGGCTGGGTGGGGAGGGGCTGGTCACCCCGTGGTGCCCTTATAAAACTCAAAGTTTAACCTACTCACACCGGCTTGTGCCAGCCCTCACAGTCGGGCATATTTGCGGAATACACCACGCAGCCGTTGACCCTGGCCATTGACCGAGCAACCCAACATTCCTACCAGCTCCCTCCGCAGGAATGTGGCAATAAAACAGCAATAAAACAGGTGTTAAGATGTTAAAACTTCACCGCAAGTATTGTGGTTAGGGGCCATCCATAAATGACGTCACGCGATTTTGGACAATTTTTGACCCCCCCCCCCCCCTCGTCACACGGCGTCACAAAAAGTCAGACCCTCACCTCAAATATGACGTCACAAAACTCTGCCCCCCCCCAAAAAAATATATATATAAAACATGCTTCAAATCGCTTTAAACTATTGCCATTGTAGTGCGTATTTAATGTGGCGCTGCACTCTGATGTTGTAAGGAGAAATAATTTATTAAAAAGTATATTTCATTAAGTAGAACGTGCTGTCTATATTTATTTAAAGTTGCACATTTTGATGTGACGTCACATTTCTCAACCCCCCCCCCCTCGTCACACATCGTCACAAATGTCTGACCCCCCCTCCCCCCCTAGGTGCGTGACGTCATTTATGGACGGCCCTTTAATGCAGACGTGATTCCTTGCAAAATGTTTCAGTTTGGTGTTTTAACATCCTAACACAACTGATTTATTGCCAGAACAGGTAATACCTATTGCTATTTTTTGATACTGGAAAGGGATGTCCCATGATGTTTGAAACTGTACATTGGTTCTGTCTGTGTACTGTACTGCGTGCAGTTTCCTCCTACACTCAAGAGGACATTTTTTTCAATGAAGCTCATTCAAACGCGACATTTACATTATTTGTTTTTAATCAGTACCGATTAAACAGGCAGAAAGCGGTCATGAATGGCAGGGGCTCTCAATGCATGCAACTCGGGCCAAGCGTCATTACAAAGCATAATTACAAAATTGTCAACACGCAATGAATAATGAAGTCCCTCTCCACTAAATTTATCTCGGTTTAAAACAAACACAATTTCTACAGCTCGTGAAATCATTCACCATGTGGGCACGGGTGGCGATTCTAGGGTGCAGTAAATAGGTGGGCGGTCAATATAGGCCAGTGTGTTTGGCTCATGTGAGTTAGAGTTATGGTTGTGGTCTGGTTGGCTACTGGAGACAGGTTAGGGGTAATGAAAGGGTCTCGTTGAGTAGTGTCAGTGAAGTTAGGGGTTAAGGTCTGGTTGCCGAGTGTGCTTGAGGTTAGCGGTTAGACTCGGATCTGGTTGGAGAGTTTGGTTCGAGTTAAGGTGAGTAGTGCTTGGGTCTGGTTGGCTCGTGTGGTTGGGGTTAGTGTTGGGGTTAAGACCAGTACTCTGATTGGCCAGTCTCGTTACTCTCCCTATAACAGCGTGCTCCGTCCCCCCACGCCATTTCGTGGCGCCCCCTCCCCACCCTTCCCCCTTCATCGCTCGTCCCTTTCGCTCTCCCATCGTCGTTCCCGTCTCTTCCTCCTCATCCTCCTCCACAGCAGTAGGAGTCTCAGCGCCCCGTCCACATGAGTCACCGCATCGCAACGCCGGTCAGCAGCGTCGCCACCGCCGCCGTGCAGAGCCCGAGCATCGCCACTTGCCAGCGGCCCCGTCCGATAGAACCGGGGCCACTGGGGCCTCCACCACAGCAATCACCCTCGTCTCGCTCGTACCAGCGGCCGAACAGCGTGACGGACAGAGGAGGGCCCTGCAGGCCCACGTCCGAGTTCATAAGACGCCCATCGTCCAGGACCTGCGTGGCCAGTCACACCACAAAACGCCTCGAGTGGAAACCTCCCCTGGATTGGCACGGATTTCAACAGGAAGCTAAGGGAATATCGTCCGTCCCGTTATCTCGACTGACCCCCCCACCCCCTTGAGAAAAGACGCTGCTGCTGCTACAACTTTCAAACAAGACGCAAATATTTGTAAAAAGAAACGCGGCCATTTGCGCAATTGTGAAAGAAAAAAAGAAACCCATCGTTATTTTCCCGAAGAAGCGATTTGTGGCGCTCTCAGGTCACCATCAAAATACATTTGAGCAAATGTGACCGACTGACAGCAGCAGTGGCGATGCGGCGATAGACAACCGCGGACCGGTGTCTTCGTGATTAGGACTCGTCAACAGGGCAGCATTGGTCACCAATGCTCACTGCTGCAAAGTCTGCCTCAGGGAACCAACCGTGGGTGTATAGTGCAGTCCAACTCAAAGAGCATTGAGGTGTTTACAGCCAGTGCTGGATATTCCACATTCCTATAGAGTTCCTGGGGGGGGGGGATGCATTATCCCAATAGGGAAAGCACTGTTATTTACTCAATTAGGCACTCTTTCTCTCTGACCTCCCTCTGTGACATGGCCAAGAGGCAATCGCAGTGTTATCGATGACAGTGTTGAGTTTTTATTGTTGGTTGGAAAGCATTACTTAGTGAACAGAGCACCGGGCAATAGAGCGTGTGTTCGTGCGTGCGTGTGCGCGTCACAGGACCACGTTGCGCCCACAAAATGATCGGCGACTGCGTTGGTACGGTGGACGTAGAATGACTCCTACGACGCTGACGACGATGACGACGAGGATGATGATGATGGTCATGACAGACGATCAGATGCCGTGCGTGCGTGCGACGAGGTCGCCCCCCGCGCACCTGGAACTGCCCTGGAGCGAGATCCACGCCGCTCAGCAGCACCTCGGGGAAGACGTGGCGGGTGCCGAACGTCCCGGACAGAGAGAAGCGGGAGAAGCGCGTGGCTGCCTCCTTCGTGGGATGGCCGCACGTCTCCTTCTCGGCTCCGGCGCACTTGAGCAGCGTGCAAATCTACAGGTCATGCGCCGCGGGGTGAGGCACGGGTTGAAATGGGGTGATGCGGTGCTGACATGTTAACTACCTCGCCTGGTATACAAGGAGGTCGTGGGTTGGATTCCGACCCTAATGTATGTATTTTTGGATTTTTCTCTGGCTCCTCCGGGTTTTCACTCCATATTTAGAAACATGCCTTTGGAGTATTTGGCTGCTATACATTTCCACGTGATAAGCCACTTCGTTGGGCTATCATTTGTCTCCAGGTCACTTCTTAAAAAGAGCTATATAGCTCAATGGGCCTTACCTGGGAAAATAAAAAATATTTCAGTTTAGAATTAACGGCACGTGGAGAGAGGTGTGCTCACAAACAGCGCGAAGCCACGGCCTCTGTAGTGCTATGTACGTAGGTATGCTGAACTTCTTTCACACCGTACGGAGCCTACCGTGCTATTTGGAGGTGCGGGGGGAAGGACAACAAACTGAACATTAAAAGCAATTCTCAAGAAATTATTTTTCAATCGAGATTACGTAAGTGTACAGCTCCAGTGGTGTCAGAATATCGGCAGGAAGAGCGTTCCAGACGACCGCAGAAGCGCATCTGAAAGCACACAATAAGGTGACTGTTTTTACACACCGCACCAGCTACTCATTTGAGGCTGAGTCGACCTAGGGAAGGCCCAGGACGGATTGATAAAATAGTCACTGGTGTTGGCCATGAGCGGAAATTTTACACGGGTTGTCGGGTTCGTGGTGCGGCACGTTAACCGCTACACCCACCGGTCCCCACCAATAACACCAACAGCCACAATTTGCTATAAAACGACGGTGACGTCACCACAGCCCTCGTACCAGACGAGGTGCTAGGCACCACCACCACCACCTTCGCCGTCACCGGCGATGCTACCTGCAGGTAGTACTGCCCCTCCACCACGTGCAGGCCGCTGAACGCCCCCAACGCGTGCAGCTCCCCGGCTGCCCGCGGCTCCTCGGCCGCCTCCGTGGCAAACTCCAGGTGGCAGCACAGCTCCCCGTGGCACACGGACGCGTTCCCGGCGCCGGCGGCCAGCAGCACCATGGTGAAGGGGTCGTGAAACACGTCGGCGGTGAAGGAGGGTGGCGACGAGGCGCCCGGCGAGGGGGGCGCCAGTGCGAAGGCGTGGCGGCCCCAGTCGGGCCGCTGGTACCCGGGAGCCCGCGGGCTCACGTCGAGCTCGGCGAGCAGCAGGTGCCCGTTGCCGGTGACGGCGTCGTAGTGGTAGGCGCGGGCGCCGTCCGGGCTGTAGATGCCGCTGCCTGCGGTGGGATGCGTGCCGTGGAAGGTGAGATTTTTTTTTGTTATGTTGCGCACGCAAGCCTTTGCGACAGTGTTCTTAGCTATTGTTCAGAGGTGGAGGGAGGGAGGGTGGGGGCCCACTTTCGCCAAGAAGACATCATCAAGTGTGAGGGCCCCCACACATTTGAAACCATTGGGGGTTTGACAGCAGCATAATATGGGGGCGGTTTCATATTTGTGTATTGTCGCGGGCCGCATTAAAGGCGGCCTGCAGTCCTTGCAATGAAGAACACTGCTTTACAACTGTGGTTGCAAGTGTTGATCCACGAGCACAGTCCATCTGTGGTGCCACGACCGCAGAGCCACTCCGCAAGCACCGCGACTCCCCCCCTACCCTCGCCCTGAACGCACACACACCACGCACACACGCCACGCACACACACCACGCACACACACACACGTAGTGTCCCGGTGGGGGATCGCCTGGCACCACGGGTAATCATCCGAAGGGCCCCTAGGTGGGAAATCCCATGGTTTCCCGGTGCCAGGAGATTGGCTGACCCGCCCAGGACAAATCACATTGCGGTCCCCCTAAATTGGCTTAAAATTATATGGGCGCACAGAAGCTCACGAGCCATCCGCAATGAGTCACTCACAGCACCGTGGAGGGGCCAGGGTGAAATATTAAGCGAACACCGGAGACGATGAGGTCAGAGGGAAATCCCCGTGCACACTCGCGGGTGTGTATTCGCCAGCCGGGCGGCCTCACAGCATTCAACGGCGTGCGCATTTGCGCCGCTGTTTAACGCTAGTCTTTGTGTGGAGCGGCTGCGTTGGTGGACGCGCGGCGAGAGTGAGGGCAGAGCCACGCCACGAGCACTCGTTAAAATAGTCGCCTGCAGGTGCGCGCGTGTCCACGTCGCTGCTGTAGTGTTAACTGTCGTACGCGTGTTAGAATATAAACATCAGCAGGGACGCGCGCGTTCGCGCCGCCACTGTAGCATTACCGTATTTTCCCGCATATAACCCGCGGGGTATACCACTTTTTACAAACAAAACAAGACCCTGCGGGGTATATGGAGGTGCGGGCTATCCCAAAAATATTTTACACGTGTGGCGTGTCTAAATCGTTTAATTTTTTCATGGTAGACTATCTACTATGCAACACTTACCTTTGACTAAAGCACTGCTGAATAAACCACTCACACTAAATTGCACATGTTATCACGTTTTAAATGATTCTAATTGTTCGTACAATTAAACGACAATGTTTGAAGTGGGCGCACTTTGTTTACCGGCGACGGGAGAGCTGGGGGGAGAGAGAGATGGGGGGGTTTGGGGGTGGGACAGAGCAAGATCTGTGGTGGTGACAGGAGAGTTGGGGGGAGAGGCAACGGCGTTACCGTAGTGCCGCTATTGTCTGCGCAGTGCGCAATCTACCAGTGCTAAAACTGTACTTATTATCTACCAGTTATGTGTTACTTATTTATTGGATATTTACTTTTGTTACTTATTTACTGTTTTAAGTTCACTCGTTTGCGGTTATTTTGTTTTCTTTGTGCACGTTATGATTTTAGTGTTAACAATTGATAGTGGAATGTATTACAAATGTAAACTTCGTATTAATATGATGGAATTGAGCTGCGGTAACGACGTTAAATATATGAATGCATGCGGGTATATGGAGGTGCGGGCTATCTGAAATTTGTTTACACAAAACGCAATTTTTCCGGGGTATATGCGTATGCGGGCTATATGTGGGAAACTACGGTAGTCAAAATGCGTGCGTGGGTTATAAAATAAATAGCCCGCAGAAGCGCGCGTGTTCATGCTGCCGCTATAGCGTTAGTCGTGGTGCGGGCGCATATTAAATTATATGCGTTAGCAGGGGTGCACGCGTTCCCGCAGCCACCTTCGCATTAGTGGTGGTGTAGGTGAGCGTGTGCGGAGTAACCCCGTGCGGCGGTGAGCCAGCACTTTAGCTATGTCTCTCCGAGAGGGCGCTAGCGCGGGAGGACCGATCACACAATCGGCGGGGGCCCGGCGGGAGCTGAGCGATGCGGTGGAGGAGGGAGTGGAGGGGGTGAATGTAGCACTCCACCTGCCCAGCGAGGGCGGTGGGGCAGGCGTCGGCCCCCACACATCCGTTGGTCTGCCCGTCCCGTCTTGTCCGCCCGGAAATAACTGTTTAGCGACACGGAAACTGAAGGCTGGCGCCGGGGGCAATTTTTTTTTGCTCTGGTTTGTTTCTGGGACATTTTTAGATTGTTTTTTTTTAAATCAAGTTTATCAAATTTGCATCTCTGGGTTTCGGGCAACCCTTTGTTGATTCACTCGTCCCGTTTTGATTTGAGTAAGTCTCTTATAACAGCACAACTTCACCTCACAGTGTCGTTCGGTATTGGATCGTCTTTACGAGAGGTATCATGCATGCACCCTCTGTTACAGAGATGGACGGACACCCTGAATGCAGTAACGCTCTCCACAGATGGACGTACAGACCTAGTGCAGTCCAAGCCTAACGATCTCGGTTGCAAAAAACGTCAAGGCCCCGGCTAGGCCCCGGCTAGGCCCCCCCCCCTCTCACCGGTCATGCGGTTGGTGGTGTTGTGCGTGTTGGCGGCGAGCATGTTGACGGCCATGCCCATGGCCCACGCCGAGTGGAACTGCACGGCGCTCAGGTGCGGCAGCACGTTCATCCACGCTGTGGGGAAGAGCACCGTGTCGACGGCGCCCTCCTCCACCAGTTGCACGGCCGGCGCGCGGAACAGGATGTCGAAGCATGTGAAGACCCCGAGCCGCCCAAAGTCTGTTTCCACGATGACCTGCGCGCGTAACCCACGCGACGACCATGGCCGGCCGTAGCCGGGGAGGGGGGGTATGGGGGTGGCGGCCGGAGGGGTTGCGGGGAAAATCACACTATGTGGACTCCCCCCCCCCCCCCCCCCCAACTAAACCAGTAGTATATTCTTGGTTCTTTCGGTAAAGTCATGTAGAAGGGAAAAAGTAAAATAATAATTTAAAAACTATAAACTTTTCACGACGTTTCGATTGCAACACAAGCAATCATCATCAGGTGTGAAAACCACAGCTTTACCGAAAGAACCAAGAATATGAATTCCTGCAGTCACGAAAGCTTTAAATCGAAATTTAAACCAGAAGTATTACATCTCACACCGTGACGTGAAAGCGTACCAACCCCCCCCCCCCTCCCCAAAGTGCGGTGTGCTGTACCCTCGGGACGACTCTGCATGCGATGATGAGTTGCGTTCAAGTCCTCACCCCCCCCCACCGTCCCCCACCACCCACTCAGCCAGTCCGTCAGGTCACTTGGACAGCTGCGACCCGTTGTGTTGTTCTGTGACACGTATGGCCCCTGACATAGCAGCAGGTTGCGGCGTCATTGGGACATCTGATGGGTCCAGGATAAGAGAGGGCCCCGGCAAGGTCTCCACCAGGCTGGTGAGGGATGTCTGCCTGACCTGACATTGGTGGTGAACTTTCACTCTTTGTATGATGTAAGTGGTTGAGATTTAGAGCTTTGTTCGATGTCAATGGTTGAGCTTTAGGGCTCAACCAATATTGGCGAACATCACTAATATATCAGGAACCCTCCCCCCCCCCCCCCCCCCCCCCCGTGTAACAAGAGTGGACTCAGCGAAACTTCCCTGGGTAATGGACATTATTAGTTTGCACAGACCACAATCATTAATCTTCATACACACGACTTGGTACACGCATCTCCAGCAAAAGAGTCGACTTGAGAGGCGGATCGACGAATCGTCTCCACGGGCCTACCTGTGTGGGCTCAGCAGGTTGGTCAAACTGATCTTCGCCCATGAAGAGTCGATACTGTGGGAACAAATGCAAATATTCTCTGCACAGCCTAACATAGACTGGTGGGGCGAGTGCTATTAGCGAGTACATATTAAGCGTGCACGCAGCACGAGGCACTGCGGTGTGGCCAGCACCCGGCCCGGCCTGGCCCGGCCGCTTTTGTCTATCCTTGATGTTTTACGCACAGCCTCGGTTACTCGGTTAAGACTGCGTCGAAGTAGGGGCGATGTAGAACTGGGTTAAAGTATCGCTCGCCAACGACGTTAAACCGTGACTGGGAATCGGAACGTGGGTCTCGTAGCGCCGCCGTTCCACTGTAGGAACATGCACGCACATTGGTTAGGTGCTCTGCAAACGACAGTGTAGCACCGGGGTTTATTTACCAGGTAAGGCCCACTGAGCTACGTAGCTCTTTTTCAGAAGCGACCTGACCACAAATGATAGCTCAACGAAGTGGCTTATCACGTTGACATTTATAGCAGCCAAATACTCTAAATACATGTTTTTCAATGTTGAGGGGAAAACCGGAGGACCAGGAGAAAAATCCATGCGACCACGGGGAGAGAGAACATGCAAACTCCAAATTTACAGGCGTAAGGGTCGAGATATAACCCACGTCCTCCTGTATACCAGGCGAGGTAGTTAACATCTCGCCACCGTGGCACCAAGTCCAGGTTTTCCAGTCTTTGGTGATATTTTGTCAGCATCGTCCGATATGTTGTATCGAGGCCCGAATTGCGTCGATTAACACGACGGTGAGTTGTTATTGGTTTTCCGTGCTGTGATTGTAATTCTGTGATTTTTTTGTACTAGTCCGAGACTTGGCAAACGCGTCTCGAAGCTTCCGCACCTTGTGATAGCGTCCCACCAGGCGGCCGAGCCGGTCCAGCACCACGTCCGTGTTGAACTGGTAGCGCGAGTCCGGTGGGCAGCGCGGGTCGCTCCCCCTGTCGCACTCCTTCCCGTCGCCCAGGTTCGCCACCAGGTACACACTAAGGTCGCGCGCCAGGCAGCTGAGCCTCGACAGCACCGAGCCCGGTTCCAGATCGTTTGCGCTTGCCCGGTGGAGGGGGGAGGAGGAGGAGAGGCAATGCTTTGAATCGATGTGGCTCCACAGCTGCTGCCAGTCACGGACTGGGACTAAATATCGGCCCAGCTATTTGTAAACACACCGGCCCAGATTCGGGCTATGGGCATTCTTTTTTTTCAATGGGTTGTGCGACAAACTGCATACGAGTAGCCCGATGTGCGATGTGACGGATTCGTGTGATTTTGCTGTGCGATCTCATTGGCCCATTTGAGTTGGTCCAAAAAACAAATGGGCCGGTGAGAAGGAATCTTTCGAGTTGTTGAATATGGGGACTTAATGCCAACTGAGGGTGTAAGTAAGCAATGAAGCATACACATTCGATGTAATTAAATATTTTAATAACAACAATATATGTGAATATGTATTTTTTTGGTAAAAAAAATAAGTGGATATATGTTCTATTTTACTCTGATCACAATTTTCCCACACAGACCGGCCCATCGGAGTGCCCTATGGCCAGTCCGGGCCAGGCTGTCGCTGTGAAGGAACGACGTCGTTGGGACAGCAGAAGTTGTGTATGGTGCTGGAGAGAAATGTGTGTTACGAGTTGTCAGTTAACGGTTATTTTAATGGCAAAACGGCAGCTGCTGGTGGTGGGGAGGTTCCAGTTGTGAGATTAACTTTTTCATTCTTGCGTAGGATGGCAATATGTGCGGGAGCTAAATGCCAATGTCGATACCTGCTGCTAGCTACGAAAGGGCTTCAGGAGAGAGTTTGTGTAGTTTTGCTGTTCCTTCTCCAATGAAGGGGCGCAGGCTGCAGTGGTTTCCCTACACGGTCCATAGTTTTGGTTGCATGGCCACAATCACATGACCGTAGCTTTCCTTTAATTTTCAATTTATGTAGGAGGTGTGCCCATCGGCCTGTGTGTCTTCTGATGCAGTTGATGGTTACACTGGTGTCTTTGAAGAGGTCACCTAGGAGTGGGCGACGGGAGAATGACTTCACGTGGGAAGATAAACTAACCTGCGAGGTTCACAACTGGGAAGATGATGTGATCTTGCAGACGGATCTTTACCTGGGAGGCTGTTCACAGGGCACCCAGACAGGCTGAGTGCTCGGATCGAGAATGTCCTCCATGTAGAACTGCGCCTCTTCCCGTGAGAGTGTCCATCCGTACAGACCGTCCTCCGGACTCACCACGATATCCGCTCCCTGGGTTGGTGCCACGTGAGCGCGCGGGTGAGACCTCGTCTCGCATGAAAGAGAGCTAGGGACGTCGTCTCGTCATCTCGTGCAAGAGAGGCAGAGCAAACACTCAAAAACACGCACAGCAACATCACGACCCAAGCGTTGGAATCTCCCTCGATGAATTAAGAGGTTACATTTTTATTAGAGGGGGCCAGATGGCTTGAAGGTTACAGAGCACTGAGCTAGCAGACTGCTGAGTCCTGGGTTCGAATTCAGGTGTCAGCTGCCTCTGAATTCACCGGGTTTTCAAGTGTAGTATTTCACAAACAAAACAAAACATATATATAGTTCTGTAACTTCCATTCAGCTAAATTCCAAACACACACTCGCGGGCCCTGCTGAAGTTCCTGTGACCACTCCTTCGCTGCGCCGGTGTTGGCTTCAGTTCTTGTCTCGAGGTGGTGCAGCAGCATCGCCGTGTGAATTCAAGCACGTTACATTTAAAACATCGTGTGCTTAAGTCATGCGTCCAATTCCCAGCACGCGACAGTTTTGGACAGCGCTGGCGACGGGCAAACGTCGAAGCAAGACAGCGGAAAGATCCAGTGCCCGATTAAGCTAGTGCGAGGCCTGTAGCATATGTTGTAAAGGGGCCCTAAATAAAAAAAAACACATACATATTTAAAAGACATTTTTAACTTGCATAGTAAAGTAATTGTATTTTTTTCATTTGCTATACAGCCATATAATACGACAAATCGCTAACCTTAAACACCCAGTCGTTCATAAAAGTTTAAGGCGGTATAGAACTATAGTAATAAAGCAAGTGCAGAATCACTGAACCGGAATTTAAAGCTTGAAAGCATTTAGCGCGGGGCCCTTGAAAGTGCAGGGCCTGTCGCATATGTAGCTGCTTTTGCTACTAGGATAATCCGGCACTGGAAAGATCGATTTCAGTGACCGTCGGTGCTGTGAAGGATATCTACTGACTCTACAGTAGTATATAAGACTCTATAGTAGTATCTACTGAACATAGTAGTAACTACTAACTCTATAGTAGTATCTGCTGACTCTATAGTAATATCTACCAACTCTTTGTATCTACTGACTGTAGTCGTATTTACTGACCGTAGGAGTAACTACTAACTCTACAGTAATATCTACCGACTCAATAGCAGTATATGCAAACTCTACAGTAGTGTATACCTACTCTACAGTCGTATCTACCTACTTTATAGTCGTAAATACCGACTCTATTATAGTATATATCGACTCTGCTAAATTAACAGAGTGCCGTGGTGAGGCCTAGTCCCGTGCAGAGTCCCCGGTCTCGCCTAGATTGCCCAGCCGGCCGAGGTGGCGCCTTGGCCGGCTGGGCTGGGCTTGCTACCCCCCCCCCCCAACCATCCCCCCGCCCGCTCTTCAATAGTAGTATCTATGGGCTATAGTAGTATCTACCGACTCTATGGTAGTAACTGCACACATTGGGGTGGGGGGGAGAAGAAGACATAACACTGTGAAGAATTTACGTCAGCGTTGTGTGCATTTTTTTGGCATTTTTTATGCAAATGAGGATTTTTCCCTGCCCCCACCAATTGTGTGTGTGTGCTAGGGCAAACCACGGGTCAGCGTTCTCGCGCATGCGCAGGTGCGTACTTTGGCGTGCACTCAGCGTCGTAATATAATAATAAATAGTAATAGATTGTTAATTTAACTACTTTACATTTGACAGATGGGAAAAGAAATCGCGATTTGTCGGTCGGGGGCTTATTGCGTCGTACATGTTTAGTTTGTTGAAATGTAAAGCCGGCAGTTTGTGAGTTAAAAGCCTCACAAGGGTGTGTACACAGACAGACACACAGATAGACAAAAAATACTTATAAAAGTAAGATAGTACGATCATTGTGTGTTATCTCCTATTGAGGTAGCCAAGGCTTGTTGTTATTGGTCGAACTCACCATACTGGCCGCCTTGCGGATGAGAGGCTCCATGATGTCCAGGTTGCTGTGCATGAGCGTCAGGGCTTCTGCCCGCGTGGGCAGGGTCCCCTGTGCGCGGGGGGACGGCAGGAGCACGGCATGCTCCAACACCGCCGCCGTGAAGCGGCGTCCAGTGGAGCCCTGAGTAGCTCCCTGGGTGCCCCCCAATAGCGTGGCCAGGGTGAGGAGGACACCGAACCAGCACCACCAATAATACCCCCGGACTTCCATCAGCAACGGCGTTTGGACGTAACTGCACCTGCACACGTGCTGTTGGGTTTATAGGCGGTGGCAGGGGAGGAGGAAGGGAGTAGCTGAGTCAGCGAGCAAGAGTATGTATGTATCCATAAGAGGGTTTTTTTTGGGTTAGATCGTGTGAATATAAATGTTTCGTTAAATCCGCCACCACCCTGCACAGCCAATTAGTACGGTTTGTCACATAAACAAAAAAATGCAATTAGTTGCTAGTTCAGCACACCGGTGTGTTGGAGAGTAAACCCACGACATTTACAATTCAAGTACAACGTTTCGCCAGTAATAACAACCAGCCTCATCAGGCGACAGGCAGAATTGTGTACGGATGTTATATATATGTTGAACTTTTTTAGCACCCTACGTAGCCAACCATGCTAATGGGCCGTTCATAAATGACGTCACGCGATTTTGGCCGATTTTTGACCCCCCCCCCCCCCCCCATCGTCACACGGCGTCACAAAAACTCAGACCCCCCCCTCAAATATGACGTCACAAAGCTCTGCCTCCCCCCAAATAAAACATGCTTCAAATCGCTTAAACTATTGTCATCGTAGTGAGTATTCAATGTGCCACTGCACTCTGATGTAGGAGAAAACATTTGTTTAAAAAAAATCTATTTAATTAAGTAGAACGTGTTGTCTATATGTATTTAAAGTTGCGTATTTTGATGTGACATTTCTCAAATCCCCCCCCCCCCCCGTAACACATCGTCACAAATGTCTGAACCCCCCCCCCCCCCCCCAGGTGCGTGACGTCATTTATGGACGGCCCCTAACCGGAGGTGCGGGGGAAAGACAACAAACTGAACTTTAGCCCCAATAGAAATGGCTGACCTAATTGTAGCAGAGAAACCTACGTTAATTTTTCATCGTAGCTATCAGCCGTAATCAATCCATTGCTGAAGAAATTATTTAAGTCCAAAGATCAAATGTGTTGTTGATCGAATCACTGCTCTGCACAAAATACAGTTACATTCGGGTAAAGTTTATGTTTTTGAAATATTATTTTATGTTTACATGTATGGTATACTGTACAATGTTGTCCGTTTTTTGGCTGCCACTCCGTGAATGAAGACGTCCGCCAACGAGATGGAGCGATGACATCAGCTTCGCTTGCAGGTGCTAGGTTGATTATCACATGACGGAATGATATGGGATGGCGTCGGTGTGGTCTTCATCGAGCCGGGAATTGACCATGGCTGACGATGCTATTGCGTTGGCGTTGTAAGCCAAATTACAAATTCCTTTCTCAATAAATTCCAGAACAAGTGCATTGCCTCATTTGGAAGACCGTGCAGAGTAATCCAGAGAAAACCCAATAGGTAATAAGAGGGAATAACACTTAAAACACCGCACGAACGGATTTAGGATTCACGACTCCACTTCCTGTACTGCCATAACCTCATAGCCAACCCAACGATGTTCGGCAATCTCACAATCTTTACATGATCCGCCAACGCTTGTCTCCAGAGAGTAGGATCGCATTTGAGCGCCACCGCACCTATAAAACTATAAACTATTTTTTATTTTGCCAGGTAAATGTGGAGGGGAAAACCGCAAGACCTGGAGAAACATCCACACGACCACGGGGAGAACCTGCAAACTCCACATATAAAACAGGCGTCAGGGTCTCTGGATCGAGCCCACGACCTCATGCATACCAGACCCAAAAGTTAACTTCTCGCCACTGTTGCGCCCTCATTATATCAGCACGTATAATGCTTTAATCAAGTCAGTAAAGTCGAGTTGACGCACGGATGGTGTACAACTCCAACATGCATTTCAGCAAAACCAAAGCGATTAGTGAAATGCACATTTGCACCTGGTTTTTAGTTTAGTTTTACACTGATTTGGGTTTCTGAGGTATTTGAGCAACGCTTTCATCAGTTTGGCCGGTTTAATTTTTTTTCATAATCAGTCCCTGAGTGGCAACGCGGCTTTACAACGGCGTTTCATTCATATCGGGTCATCTTCCCAAGCCTTCCCCCCCCCCCCCCCCCGTGTTACAGATGGACCGAGAAAATGCGTATGCAGCGCCGTCATATCCCGAGCCACCTGCTGGGATGGCTCCCAATCCATCTCCCTGCGTATCCCCAAACTTGGGACTACCCCTCTAGCCCCGAGCTAGCTGCTAGACCTCCTGCTTTTTGTTTTATACGGGTCTCCTGGTGCTCGCTTTTCCTTCCACGTGTATAAACACTCATTAATCGTCTGAAAACACCTTAATATCGAGTATATGTACGTACGTTGAACATATTTCGCAACACCGTACGGAGTCGACCGTGCTAATCGGAGATGCAGTATAGAGAACTTTAGTGCATATTCTTAGGTTTTTTTCGGTAAAGTCACGTAGGTAAAACATTAAAATTAATAAAAATCACGACGTTTCGGAGGCAACACAAGCTTCCGTCTTCAGGTGGAACCGTCACAGCCACGACAGCTGTATCAAGTAAATGTTTTACCTACGTGACTTTACCGAAAAAACCTAAGAATATGAATCCTTGCAGTCACGAAAGCTTCAAATCTAGAACTTTAGTGCAACTGTTGCCGCCCGCTTACCGCCTGGCAGCCTTCCTCTTTGTCTATGGTTCCTACTCAGCAATTGTGCAATTTGCATGAATGATCTTGTTTCTGTTTTATTACACTGCCAGTGCAATATATATATACACTAGCTTGTTTGCCCGTCCTAGGACGGAAGCTGTAATATTTACGAAAAAAATTACCAGAGTATAATTAAACCTTGACTTCAAACTTTCGTGACTGCAGGAATTCATATTCTTGGGTCTTTCGGTAAAGTCACGTAGATAGGTTCAAATAAAATAACAAAAAATATAAAAAAAACTACGACGTTTCGATCGCAACACAAGCGGTCGTCTTCAGGAAAAGGGGGGTTAGCTTCCAAGGCAGACTGTTTATAAGGGTTTGAAATGGGCGAATTTGCGAAAAAGTTTGTCTTTCCACTCGACCTTCTTCTGCGTGAGTGTAAAAATCCACCCACTCATGATTATTAATGAGGGGGGGGGGGCTCATGTGGAGGACCCCACCTGTTCATGATTATTAATGAGGGGGGCTGGTCGACGTGGAGTGACGTCACGCGCGTTACACACAGACATTCTTAGCTCGTATTAGTAATAATTGTATGTATGCCCCCACCCCACACTTATAGTTTTGCAATATCCAGAGCATAATGGACATACACTTGCAGATCATACAGTGAGGGAAAAAAGTATTTTATCCCCTGCTGATTGTGTACGTTTGCCCGCTGACGAAGAAATGAACAGTCTATAATTTTAATGGTAGGTTTATTTGAACAGTGAGAGACAGAATAACAACATTAATAATCATGAGTGGGTATCGTCACTCCGCATGGAGAACCCCCCCCCCTCATTAATAATCATGAGCAGGGGACGTCACTCCACATCGAACAGCCCCCCTCATTAATAATCATGAACAGGTGACGTCCTCGAAATGGACATTCCCCCGCCATTAATAATAATTAGCAGGTGACGTCATTCCACATGGGGGGGCGAGGCGCCTCCTCCCCCCTCCTCGGCGTCAATTTACAACCCTCACTACAAAGGCAGAACCCTCACGTCACGCGATCTCCGCTCTTGAGACATCAAAGTAAAAAGGACGTCATGATGAACAAGGGATTATAACCTTTAAATGAAATAAGTCTGTGTCGCCGCTGCCTTACAAATTGCATACGAATGGATGAATATCACGTCGCGGTCTGCTTTTCACTTGCAAGTTTCAGATTTACTGCAATACACCCGTCCTTATTCTTAGGTTTTTTTCGGTAAAGTCACGTAGGTAAAACATTAAAAAAGTAAAATAAAATAAAAATCACGACGTTTCGGAGGCAACACAAGCTTCCGTCTTCAGGTGGGACCGTCACAGCCACGACAGCTGTATCAAGTAAATGAGAGATTGCAGGAGCTACCACTCCTTGGACGGGCAAAAGGCTAGTAAGGTTTGTCATGTGTGGGGCCCGACGCCCCCACCCCACAGCCCTCGCAGGTGGGGCGCGACGTCCGCCCGTTCCGCTCCCTCCTCCACTGCGTCGGTTGGCTACGTACGGTGCGAGAGAAGTTCAACATACATACTTACAATATTGTGGTGTTCTGGCCTGCACTGCTATTCTGTTATGAAGGGTTGTACAGGTTTGGTCACGGGTCTGTTCGAGGCGATACGGGGTGGAGATTTGCTGTCTTTGTTGCTTGTCGATGTCGCTTGCGTTGGCCAGTTTTTTTGACGATGTCCGATGAACGATGTACAACAGCTAGTCCGCTCTTTCTCAGTGTGTGAGAAAGAGCACGCGTTGACGGGTGTGGAGTTTCACCCGCGTTTTTACTCTTTGTGTTGACAAAGTCTGATTGTTGATTAACCTCGCAAGCCACATCTTTTATAGTTTGGGAGAAAACAAAAACCCAAAGCCCCTGTTACTTGATAACTTTGCGACAAACACACGTTACGCAAGTCAGATGTTACTGTTGTTGCTTTTACGTGGACTTTAACGCGGAATGGAATTGATTTGTATGTGTTACATTCCACGTAAAAAAATCCATTCCATACCATGTTATTCCATTCCACGTATGAGTTTATTGTTTACAAAGTAGGAGGCTCACATTCCAACACACCCCGCTACGAGATTGTCTTCACATTGAGGTCAATTTGAGGTCAAGGCTTATACAGTATTTACCAGTCCAGCCCCGGTTCATTCACGATTCTCTGCGATACGTTTCGTTGAATCGTCACTATTCGATGTCGTTAATCGATGTAATACTCTACTATTCATTTTTGTCATCTGGGTGAATGTAGCTCTTCTACTAATGGCTGCAGGGGTTACATCAACAAATTAAAATTTATTTTACCTGTTCAGGCCCACTGACCTCTTTTTTCAGGAACGACCTGGTCACAAATGATAGCTCAACGAAGTGGCTTATCATGTGGACATTGAGAGCAGTCAAATACACCAAACGCATTATTTTTAATGTGGAGAAAATCTCCAAATACCTCCTTAAAATAGTTTCATTTGGGTTAGTTTGCGTAAATGTGTCGTTAAACCCACCACCACCCGACACAGCAAATTAACTACTATAATGAGCCAAGAATGTCTGTGTACCACGCGTGACGTCACTCCACGTCGACCAGCCCCCCTCATTAATAATCATGAGTGGGTATCATCACTCCGCATGGAGAACCTCCCCTCATTAATAATCATGAGCAGGGAACGTCACTCCACATCGAACAGCCCCTTTCATTAATAATCATGAACAGGTGACGTCCTCGAAATGGACATCCCCCCGCCATTAATAATAATTAGCGGGTGACGTCATTCCACATGGGGGGGGCGAGGCGCCTCCTCCCCTCTCCTCGGCGTCAACCCACAACCCTCACTACAAAGGCAGAACCCTCACGTCACGTGATCTCCGCTATTGAGATATAGAAGTAAAAAGGACGTCATGATGAACAAGGGATTATAACCTTTAAATAAAATAAGTCTGTGTCACCGCGGCCTTACAAATTGCACACGAATGGATGCAATGAATATCACGTCGCGGTCTGCTTTTCGCTTGCAAGTTTCAGATTTACTGCAATACACCCATCTTTGGATGGGCAAAAAGCTAGTTAGTAAGGTTTGTCATGTGTGGGGCCCGACGTCCATCACACAGCCCTTGCTAGGCAGGTGGTGCGCGACGTCCGCCCATTCCACGCCCTCCTCCACTGCGTCGGTTGGCTCCCTCTGGGCCCCCGCCGACCGAGTGATGGGCCCCCTCGCTAGTGCCCTCTCTGAGGGACATACTCGTGCTGCTGGCTCGTGGCCACACGGAGTTAGACCACACACCTGTCCACACCGCAGCTACCGCTAACACAGGGGGCACGAACGCGCTCGAAGACGTCACTTGGTCGCGAAAGCCCTACGTGTTAAACACACGACCTCCTGCATACCAGGCGAGGTACACAGTTGTTAACATCTTGCCCCCGTGGCGCCAATGCATACGCCTGGAGCATATATCGCAAGCGTGAAAATAGCTTGCGATCGACGGATCGTCGTCCCAAGTTTATTAAAGTTGGAAAATTCGACGCAATGCTTCAATAGGCGACGTTTAGAGCAACGGCCCATCCTTCATGTGCTAGGAGTTATTATTGTTCGTGCTTGCGCACCGCTCTTGACGCATTGTCGCCTAATAATGCGTTTTAAATTGAAAACGGACCGTACCGAGTGAGATGTAAGCCTCTGGTCTGGCATAAAACAAAAAAATTCGCCATTTTTTATAATCACGTGCGGTACCCAGCCTCGTGTGGCCCAGTCTTAAATGCAAATTTACGATGCTGTGATTGGTTCTCTGGGTGGAGAAGGCGGGGCCCGTCGAGGCGCTTGCGTGCGTGCGCGCGCTCCAGTTTTCTCCACATTTCATTGGTCGCTGAGTTTGGTGCGCGAGCGTTAGTGATTGGCCGTCGTCGTCGGTGTGGGCTTCGGCGGGGCAGGGAGTTGATTGGCCGCCGAGTAAAGTGGGCGCGCCTCCTTCGAGAGAGGTTCTCGAGATGTGATTGGCGGACTGGCGGCTCGGTGGGTGAGACGCGGTGTGATTGGCGGACGGCGGCTCGGTGGGCGGGGCTTCGCGCTGCAGTGCTGAGGGTTGCGCGCGAGTTTCCCGCGCTTTTGAGAGATCGGAGTTGTGATCGCCATGTGGAACGATCAGGGTGAGTGGCAACTCCACAACAATAACAACAGTAAACAGCAGTGATAAACAACACTAACATACCTCGACGCTGACGGGAGGTATCGTGAAGAGTAACTGTTGTTGATAAGTAATGTGCGTGGCGGCAGCGGCGATCCACAAGGCCCAAGGCTCGCCTGTCAAACAGGGCCGCGGCTACGTTAATCTCATTGTTGTATATACACGTTGTTTACACAGTGTTTGTTACGCCGTCGTTATTTTACGGCGATTATTTGTTGCAAATGTGTACTTTGTCTCAGTGGCGCGTCATTATAGTTAATGACAATACAAAAAGTAATCGCCATCAAGCGTGACCCAATCCGGAGCTGTCGCCATCTCGGACGGTCGAGTGGTAGAATTGATTGCCGACCGCGGCTTCATCTCCGTGCCGGTTGTTACCCCGGGGACGTGTTCTCTCGCTTTCTCTCGCTTGCAACTACCTCGTTCCTCTCAGACCTACCATTTGCCCAAGCCCCCACCTTATAACGATGCATGGTATGGTTTGAAATGCTGTCGTGCTGGGTGGCAGCAGCAGCAGCAACCGTGATGGTGGCAGGGTTGGTGGGTGGTTGTGTGTTGGGCGCAACACGTCCGCCGAGGAGATGGAGCGATTAAATGAACCCCCCGTGGTGCGACTGTCGGAACAGGATTGTTGCGAGAGGGAGGAAGGATGTCCGGCAGTGGACAAACTCTGGCCGATACATTTGTTTGCATTTCTTTTTCAATGTACACACGCATTTCTTTGCGGTGTAATAATAATGAACAGATTTGTTTTCTTACGTAGCCTCTATCGTATCAATCTGTGTACATAGTTTGCATAAATATTGGGAATTATTGACTCTTTGTACGAATCATTTTGTGTATCACGACCGTGTGGTTTGACGTAGCTCTTGCCTTGTGTACATGACCGCTCGTGTGTGTTTTTTTCTCCCCCCCCCCTACCGCCCAACCAACCAGGCTACGATGGAGGATTTGCAGACTCTGGCCGAGGAGGTGGAGGGGGGGGATACATGCAATCTCAGGGGGGGTTTGGAACTCCTGGCTCCACGCAGAACAGCGAGCGAACCCGGGTACGTGTTCGGAGCCGAGCTCATTCGTGATGTGTAAATGTGTTGAGGAAAAACATGTGGTCTGTGAAAAACACTGGTGGTTTGCAATTGCCATGGCCCACATAACTTTTGCAGATATTTTTTTCTTCACCAAACGCCCTTGTTTTACTGGCCCATTTTACAACCATTGAGAATGTATTCAAAACTCATAAACTTAGCTGCCTATTGACTAAATCTGCTGGTTTATGGCATTCGTTATTGATGAGCAATCTTAATTTTTCAATGTGTTGGTGCGTGGTAGTCCACACGTACATTTTGTTGAGGTTTTACGGTGGTGCCCGGGTCTGGAAACATGTAGATTGCTTGGTTTCCTCCCGATTACTCTGGTTCCATCCCTCAAGAAAATTTAGCATTCAGGAATTTGCCAATCATCCCAGTACAATACCTTAATGGAAAAAAAATTCTGACTCAAACGTTTCTCGCATGAAGGAGCTATTTTCAGAAACATGGACATTGACACAGACTTTGCAACCGGCTGAAAATTGTGCCAAATATCACGCTCAAGTTCACACTTAGATTTACACTGGGAGACACAAAGAGGAACAAATTGGTAATTAAACGTACACAAGTTCGAGATACGTCGACAGGAAGGAAAAATAAGTTGGCTTGGGCACGATACATCACTTGAACTGATGTCCAATGGTCGAGAATAATGGCGGACTGACAACCAAAGGAGAGAATGTGCTCGATAGACTGTCCACTGCAGAGATGGAGAAACTAAATCAGCTCATGTCAAGGTGCTACGCGGATCGTTGCATCGCAGGACTGAGGCTTGGTGATGACTTGAGGGGGTCTCCATCCAGAAGTTGATTGATCATTGATGGTTATTAGCAGAAAAAATAAACAACAGGTGCATATTCAGGTGATTGCCTTTATAATCAGAGGTGGCAGGTTTTACGCTGGATACCATAGTTGTATACAACACATTCTGATGTGTTGAAAATACTCTATTGTCTTGAAAGTTCAGTTACAAAGCATTGCGTATTTAAATAACGTTTTGTTCCTAATTGTGTTAACATTCCAATTACTTCAGTTGGACAGGGTGGCACCGTGTAATTAATCAATATAGATGCAACGTTTTTGGTGGATTGACAGGTTGGGATATTCCCTACCTCGCTAGGTTGTGATGTGGCCAGGAGATGGCAGTACACCATTATGGATTGCGAACTCGGAGTGATCTTGAGTTTTATTCAAGTACACTGCATCGGTGGTTTTCTTCCAGTACTTCTGTTTCCTCCCACACACAAACTCTGAAAATAAATTATCCAAACTTCTCAATGCAGGGCCCTCCTAAAAACAAGTTTTGAAACTCATTGTGAGTCATGGGGTTATTTGATTATACATCACGAAGCTGGTCAGTGTAGGTTGTTGAAGGCGGGTGGGTTGGTGGGCAGCGTGCATTCAGATCCATTTCAGATATCACTTGATTCTGATGTTAGTTGTGGCAGGGAATCAAAACTTTGTTATCGGGCTTCATAATGCAGTGCACCAACCACTGAATTGCTGCCCCCCACCCTGCATTATTATTACACAACGTATAATCAGAAAAGCATGTGCCCCATTGCTTCTTGCACAAGGTTACTGTTTCACTTCCCACAGAGCCCCCACGGAGCAGACAGTGAGCTCAAGCTGCTATAAGAGGCCGAGAGAGAGAGATGTCATTCCAGTGGCGAGAATTCCTCGGATCAGTTCACACGTTTAAAGTCATGCGCTTTTTCGTAAGCACCCGGTGTTGCATCATGAGTAAATGTTACCGCGGAGGTCATGTGTATCACGACGGTGATTTACCGCCCCCCTCCCGTGCGCACGTGTGTTTCAAATTTTACCCACAGAGGCCGCGCGTGCAGCATTTGATTCCTTGCACCGGGGCTCAGCTCATGGCCGCGCAACAGAATGATGACATGTTCTGCCTCGGTGATATCGACCTCAACCAGGTAATTGATTAAACTATGAAACAATAAATTTTACCAGGTTAGGCTCACTGAGCTACATAGCTCTTTTTTGTAGAAGTGACCTGGCCACAAATGATAGCTCAACGAAGTGGCTTATCATGTGGAAATTTACAGCAGCCACATTTTCTGAACGCATATTTCTAAATGTGGAGGAAAATCCAAGCACCCACGGGGAGAGCATGCAAACTCCAATTGTACAGGCATCAGGATCGGAATCGAGCCCATAACCTGGATACCAGGCGAGGTAGTTAACATCTTGCCACGGTGACACCCCAACAACTGAGCTTGCTTGTCCAAAGTTGATCTACTGATGCCGCTTTTACCCTTGGCACAAACGTGCCAAGCTAGGCCGAGACCGACACGGTATGGGTGGTTTTCTACGAAGCCTTTGCTGGGCATGAGCATTGACTATTTCATATGTGCTTCAACTATGAGTGACCAGTAGGGGGCATACTTAATTCCTAGAATTCGTGTTTGACTAGCAGGGAGGAGCGAAGGGGAGTATAAGAGTGGGTAAAGACAAGTGCGGGACTTGGCAATGCTAACGTGGGGGCCTTTGGAACAAATACGATTTATTTGACCCTGCACATTAGTTTTTAATATTCTGAAAACAAGAGTAGACAGTAAAAGTCAATAATGCATGCATATTATTATCTTTTGGTTTGTAGCTGTTAATAGCACGTGCGTGTAATGTGTACGCTCGCATTAGATTAAAAAAGTATTACAATTCCGAGCTTCTGACAGTCCCAGTTAGGATTTGACCTTGCTGTAAAGTTAATCCCAAAGTTCCAAACAATTGGGGGATGTCTTGGACAAACCTGATAACTGACATGGATATATTTTATAAAAACCCATATTTGGGTTTAGGAACGATTTACAATCCAATTTTTATATATCATTCCCACAGATGGCTGAATAATTAACTTAAGTATTCAATCCATTTAATCTTTCTACTCTCAGCTTAACCCTACTTTTTGAAATAATTCGATTTTCTAAGCACAGGTCCAAACACCCAAAATGCAAAACAGCCAGCAACAGTACATTTGTGCGTTATCAATATTTCCAGGATACCCCTAACTGAAAGTGGCAGAACCGTCCTTCAGCTTGGCATGCAGCCTTAACGTTTGGAACAAGAAGGGGGGGGGGTGGCAGGAACAGATCAGGTAAGGAGAATGCAAACAGCTTGGAGGCAGTGATGATGCATTGCGGCAGCACGAACAAATGGTCACGAAAAAGACCCAGGGATCGAGAAGTAGGGAGTTTGAGTGGTACCAGGAGCCCGAGTCTGGATTTCACGACGTCGCTGTTTTTTAACCCTCTTGGCCGTTGGCCCCTCCTTGCAGGTGACCATGGTGGGGCTGGTACGTCAGGCAGAGAAGTCGCCCACGAACATCCTGTACAAGGTGGACGACATGACATGTGACCCGCTGGATGTACGCCAGTGGGTAGACGCCGATGTAAGTGCTCACTCGCCACCATCGGTTTTGAAAGTTTTTATTGGTGTGTGACCAGGGCTTAGTGTTTTTTTACTGCATTTTTTTCCAGGTTGTTTGTGGACTGCAGTCGTAGCCATAGTCATAGCCAGAGGTATGATGAATGTGGTGTGCCAGGTGCGGAAATATATTCTGGGTCGTTTACCCGGATATAGGCCTGGCTGAAAATAAGCCCTACATGTAATAAATCATCTGCCCATACGGAAATTTCATGTCATGGTTCAACTTAAGAATAGAGTTATTTTACGTCTCGTATTTGCTCTCTCTTTTGTGTTGTCCGTCTGGTGTGTTCTGTCTCTTCCTGTCTCTTTCATTTATTTAACATTTATAATATATTTTTCACACATCGATGAAGATAATCTGTAAAGGCAGATGTTAGAGGTTGGGTGTTGCGGTGATGAGATGTTAACTCCCTCGCCTAGTATGCAGGAGGTCATGGGTTTGATCCCGACCCTGACGCCTATATATTTGGAGGTTGCATGTTCTCCCCGTGGTCGTGTGGATTTTAATCCGGGTCCTCCGGTTTTTCCCTCCACATTCAGAAACATCCATTTAGAGTATTTGGCTCCAAAATTTTCACGTGATATTCAACTTATTTGAGCTATTATTTGTGACCAGGTCGTTTCTGAACAAGAGCTGGTAAAAAAATAATTATTTTTAATAGTTTCGGGTGTCAACTGCACAAAAGCACAAGGGAGGAAATCCTGGTAGCATTGTGGCATTGTTGGAATTGGCCATTATCACCTCTTGGCCTTGTTACGAGGGTACATTAGGCTGCAATGCTAATTGTTCGATTGTGGTGATTAAGCAAGCTCCCCTCCACCACCCTCCCCCTCCTTACCCATCTTGTTTTATTGCAGCAAGTAAAGTTCCTCTTGATAACTGTTGCCAATTGAATTCCCTTTGTAGGAGGACACTAACGAGAATAATGTTGTGCCGCCTGGGACGTACGTCAGGGTCGTTGGCCACCTGCGCTCTTTTCAGGTACGTTTAAAGCTTTTCTGTGATCGTCATTATGAAAATGTGCATGACGTATTGTCATCGTTAGCCATTGTGTATGCACTGCTGGATGGAAACCTCCCCATGCGTTCAATGCCTCCCATGGGCCTGCGGTGCCGTTATCATTCTTGCCTTTGCACGAGAGCTGATTTCGTCACTCCATCTCCTGTTGTACTATTGGGCGCATTCTCTCCTTAGCTGTTCCATCACCTGTCTCGTCCATTGGCCATCATCCCTCGTAGCGATGCCATTCAATGCCTACTTCCTTTTCTTAACAGGCAATATGACGTCTTTCGCTTGCCAACTGATACAATGTGTTCCTCTTCCTATATTCTCACTGTAAATCCTGAGCATGCACCTCTCCATGCTTCTTTGCGCACTTTTCAACGTTTCCTTTTTTTTTTGGTCGGCCACGTAATCCATACGTCATATCCAGCAGTATGCACCGGCTGAAAATGTTTCTGTTCTAGCACAATAATGTGATGGTTGTCATCAAGTTCAGTTTTCCATTAACTGTGGTTATGAGCATAAAACTGGGATGGAGTGAATTTTGACTCCCTTGTCAGAAGTGATTTCCTGCTCAAATGGACATTGATGCGGTGCTCATATCCCATGAACAACCTTGAGCCAAGGGTGGAAATTCCTCATTCCTATTGTGGGGGCGAGTATTCTAAAGACAACCACTGTTGACTTATCAACAAACTGGTACTTATTTTATCGACCCAGGAGGGTGCTGGAGTCACATTAACTCCAGTTGGACCTGATAATGAATTTGCTTTGTTATCGCTTAAAATAATGCATCTCTTTACTCTGCCACCTCTGTAGTGGTACATGTAAGTAGCATGCAAGAATTGTGTCCTCTGCATCATCTTTCCTGCTTGTCTCATGAGTTTGCTGAATTGCAGTTAAATGGCCAAAGAACCTAGATATCAATTTATAACATTTGTTGCCGCTCAAAAGTGTATTTTCTTGTCGCTGCGTCACGCCGTACGCAAATGGCCGATGACCAAATCACCCGGAATGGACCTGATCTAATAAGATCTGGGAAGCTAAGCAGGTTTGCACTTGCTTGAATGGTCCACCACCTTTGAAACAGGTGTTATGGGCTGCAGTAGAGTTGTGCTACATTGAGGGGCACAGTGCAGTGCAGCAACATTAATTGTTGTACTGTCCCTCTTTGCTCTCGCATCTATACGCTGCCCTTCTTAACCACCCCGCGCTGACCGCTGTGGTGAAGTAGGGTGGGCGGTTGAATGACGACGTGACATCGAAGGCAGCGTGGGGAGCAGCGGCATCACGCGGTAACTGATCTTGTGCCATTTCTTGTTCGGTGCAGAACAAGAAGAGCCTGGTGGCGTTTAAGATCCTGCCACTGGAGGACATGAATGAGCTGACGTGCCACATCCTGGAGGTGGTGCACTCTCACATGGCTCTGGGCAAGCCGCCCGTCCCAGGCCGCTGCCGTGAGTTGGAGCTGGGGGTCACACGCAGTACACACGCAAGATAACAATCAGTATAGCCTACACGCCAGTGATTCCCAACCTTCCTGGAACCGTGGACCACAAAAACCGTCAACTCACTGCATTTATAAACAATTTAATGAAGGTAGCTGCCAGGTTTAAAACCAGAATCTCAATCTCTTGACATGGCTGTTGTAACCTCGTAAACTGTGTCTCTGTGTGGTAGGAGCAAAGGCTTGTGGTTATCAGCACATTAAAGCGGCCTTCCCAAAACTTTATCTCAACTCCTGAACGAGATTCTCTTGACAATTTGTATTTTTTTTTTGGTCAAATGTGCTGTCAATTGCTTCTAAGTGGATTAAGTTGCCAATTACATTTTTTTTTACATTTACACATTTGGCAGTCATTTCAATTTGAAGGTATGTGCTCATTTTCATGAGTGAATTCTCCATAACCTTGATTTTATAACGTCATTGCCCCCATCAGGGCAAAATGGAGTGAATGTAAATTGAACAATCCACTAACGGGAATGTCCAAAGTTAATGCAGAGCCCAGGACGTGTATATTGTTATCATTTACATTCAGTGGTTCAGTACTTGCTCGATGGGTGATCCATCGTTCCATCTTGGCGACAGTGCAGCTGATTAAGAGTTTTTGGCTGGGCTATGGGTGTGGATGGGTTTTGGGACTCCGTTCCAAGGCGGGACGTGCGGCGTTTGTCTTGCAGTCCATTGCAGTGACAACGTCTATGCCGTTGAACACGTCCTTGAAGCAGTCAGCCGCCGGGACTTTGCGCGCGGACAATGGACTCGCGCAGCACCAGACCAAGGTGAGAGAAACCTTGCCGCAGCGCTCGCATCGCGCGACCCTGGATGTCAACACGTTTCTGTGATGCATTTATCCTTTCCATCTCTCGTTGATTTAATCCATATGGCCATCTCCGTCTTCAAGGTCCTTCATGAACCCCTGTCTCACTCTCTTCTGTCATCTCACTCTATTCTCCTTAATGTACTCTCCTAACTCTCCCCGATTATCTCACTCTACTCCCTTCCATGCACTATCCTATCTCTCTCATCTCACTCTACTTTCCTCCACTACCTATCATACAGCTCCCCTATTATCTCAGTCTACTGCCCTCCAAAATCTCCTACATATCCTCTCATCTCACCCAACTTCTCTCCATACTCCTGCATCTCCCCTCAGATCTACCTGATTCCCTCCACACACTCTCCTACATATCCCCTCTCACCAACCCACCTTATTTCCCACTTCGCACTCCGCTCCAGCAACCAAGGCGATATCGAAGCCCCCAGTCAATCTTTGCTCAGTGGGAGATGGCTCTTCTGTCTCCACTGCTGCTCCCAGTTATTTGGAATTCCTTTCCTCCAGCCATCTGTGCTATGGACTCCCTTGACCCTGTTAGAGTCCAGGATCGAGACATTCTTTTTGTGCTCTGACTGTGACTGACTACCTCCTCAATCGAATATAAATTTCTCGACTGTTTCTGTACAGCGCCTTAAGAGCTAGTCACAGATGTTATATAAATCCACATTGTATTGTATTATTTCCCACGCAGGTGCTCACTGTGATCCGGAGCTGCCACAGCTCGGAGGGCATGAGCATGCAGGAGCTGAAGAGTCGCATCCCTGCCATGAACTCCGGTTTACTCAAGTGAGTGAGCTCTACACACCACCAAAATAAACAACCCTTAGCAGTACAGGCTGTTGGGCACAGTGCTGTTCATGAACACATATGAAGGCCGGTAATGCACGCAATGGGGTGGTGTGGCCAGAACCACCACCCCCCCCACTCCCCCCTTTACCTCCTTTGTCTCTCCAATGCTGATGTTTACACATTGCACGCAGTACTCATTTAAGGCTGAGTTGACCTAGGAGGGTCCAAGGACCGGTTGAGCTCTAGACACACACACATGCATGTACACGAGGTAAGTAGCAATTCAAGGAGTGTCGTGTTAAAACTTGCTACTTCACTGCAGTGCTTTTGTCGTTTTTGCTAGCACAGGCCACTTGCAAATGACTCATCCGGGTCTCTTGACGTCTCACTTGGTTAAACAAAATAAACTTTTAAGCGTTATTGTATATATTCTCCCCACGGATGGGCCGCACAATGAATTTGATAATTTACTTTTTTCAACCCCTTAATCCACCTACTGTAGAATGGTAAAAAATGGGTAAAAAGAATAATACATTCAAACCGTGACAATTCATCAAACCACTGGGGGCATGGGGTGGCATGAATAGCAACATCCCTTAAGCCCAGCGCACATGGCCCACCCACAGTGAAAGCTCAAAGCTGGTGTTATCTCACAGTAACTGCCGCCTGAATATACGCACTTGGAACGTGCGTGTGCAAGGTAATCGTGTGCGCACGACGCAGCACCCGTGCAGCCTGAACAAAGAGGACTGGATTGTCTTCTCGGATCATCGCAATCATGGGAGCTTGAGAGTGCAGGCGCAGTTGGGGTGAATGTCGTAACCTCTGCCCTAGTTAGCGCTGCAGCGTTGCACATTTTTGCACACGCATTGCAGACTTGAAGTTGGGCTATTTAAAGGTCCACCGTGTACGTCTGTAAAAGCCCGGATCTAGCGATCGCTCTGGAGATGTTCGGCTTTCAATCACTTGAGTGCAAGCGCGGCAAGCCGTTAAAGAACTTTGTTCCGTGTCTCCACGTGTAAATAAAATAGATTTTTAGTCCATCGGCATATAATTTGCATTCCAGGCCAATATTATTAAGCAGCATTTGTTTAAGCAAGTGACCTCTGGACCGATTTTAACCTTATGGGTCTCATCAGCAGAGTCAGTGTAACATGCTGCTGGGATGCCAAATGTTATTCTCAATTAAAACAAACTAATATAGGTCTGGAAAGCCAATAGACCAGTGGAAGATAAACATTTGTATTTTGATGTGGAGACGCTTAAATTCACTTTTACTTGTAATGCTCCGTAAGAATGGATATAATAATAAGTTCCCCTAAGCCTTCAGAGAGTTGTGTGTACACACGAGCTTAGAAGAGTCAGTCCCAGAGAAATGATGTGTTTATTTTTGTATGCGGCGTGTTTGTATGACATTCGTTCAGGATGTGATTGGAGCGTGCAGGCTACATACACTCGCTTGCTGTATGAGCTCGTGTGCCTAATTTACAAGGGTTCATTCTCTTCAAGGTGTTTTTGAAGTATTTTTTTTATGTGCCTATTTTTATTGGGCACTTTTTTCGTGTGAGTCACGTGTTTATTCACAGTCCTAACAGGAGTTGGCTTACACAACAGATAACTTTGTGGGGTTAGTGTTTGTCTGCACGAGAGGAACCGATCGTTTTGTGTAATGCCTTCTATCTAAAACGATAAATGGATCAACATGAAGTTGCGATCACGGTGGTTTCAGTAGAGCGAGTGGACACGTAGAGTTTTTAATGATGAATCGTTCTGTAATTGTTTGGCGCTTTGGCCGCGAGTCTGAATTCATGGCGAGTCGATGCCGAGACTGCTGTCGCGACACCCCCCGGGGAGGGCTTGTTTGACGCATCGTCGGGAGGCAGTTTGACGGTGGGTTGAAGGGGTAAAATTGGAAAGAATTGCCCTGTGGGGGCCAAGGCAGCGTGGCCTCCGAGATGTGAACATGAAGGGGGTTTCCTGTGTAAAGTGAGAAGCCTGAGCAAGGGGTCGTGACCCTGTCATCCCTGGCCCCTTACGCATTCGGGCCTGGGTTGTGGAGGTAGTCCTGGAAACGCGGCTTATTTCGATAGAATGTACCAATGGAAATATGTATTTATATTAAGATGGTATAGATAGTACAGCATGGTGAAGCATGGTCAAACAAGTACGGTGTGGGCGTCTAGTCCTTCCACTGCTATACGAGGTTCACTCTATACCGTAGTGAGTTTATGAGGGTTTGAGCTTACTTGACCACGCTGGTCAGTGCGGGTCAGTTCGAGGATGGTGAGCATAGATTCTGGAGCGTCGTACAGTGCACAGTCCCCTGTCTATAACACCTGTTATGCATGGTGGCCACTCGTCAAAGTACTATCCAGGTTCAAAGCTGCTTGGCTTCCGAGATCGAGTGCATTCCGTGCTACGATTTGGTCATGGGCATTTATACAGATACGTGCACACAAATATGCAGACACCAATGCCATGTTTTTTTAAACTTGCAGAAGCAGAACTTTGATCATTTTATTTCAAGAGGCATAGCACCGTTGTTTTTAAATACGGTACATTGTACTCACCGCAGATAACTCCAGCGACATGACCGCACTCTATGATAGCTGGTGCCAAACTGCTACACGCTCTCCTGCATGGCCTTTTTGGAGCCTTGGTACCGATAAACCTATTTAATTTTTTCTTCCGGTTTCGTTTTGATTATGTACACGTATGTCATCGGAAAGGAATCGGAAGAAAAACTTGTCATCGGAACAGGAAAGGGTTACATTAATTTTAAAACTTTTGTTTGACTGGGCCAAGCAGCCTCGCTGCGTATACCATCCTTTTATTGGTTAAGAGCCATTTGATTTTTGAGGTTTCAACTTCTGTGATTGAGAGTCATTTTCATTATGTTTTTGCCTCTCCCGTGTATGCATGCATGGCGTTTACGAATGAGTAACACGAGGCTTTTAGAGAAATGTCACGGGTAATTATCCATTAATAAATAAACTATTCTGGAAAGTGAGTTAATTGCCGTGCTCATTGTGCGTGCTTTTACGAAAGCTGTCGGGATGCCAAGGTCGCCAGAGACCCGATGGAAACTCGCGCTCACACTAAACAATAATAGGGAAGCGTGCAAATAGAGGTTTCTGCCTATGATAGGACCCAGGGGACTTGTTAAAAGGATAAGCAGCGCATGGTGTTGTTGCAGGCTCAGAACTTGTAAGGCTAGGCAGTTCCACGATATCGGCGATACGAAAGATGTGAGTGATCCTAGATTTGAAGTTTTCGTGACTGCAAGGATCCATACTCTTTAGTTCTTTCGGTAAAGTCACGTAAGTGAAAACAATAATAATAAAATGTAAACAACTAAATTAAATCACGACGTTTCAGAGGCAACACAAGCTTCCGTCAGGAGGAACAGCCACAGGCAGAATTACTATTCTTATTTTTTTTCATCTACGTGACTTTACCGAAAAAATCAAAAGAGTATGTGAGTGATCATTAGTAGAATAGTCAAAAGGGTTTTTTACTTGCGCAAGGGAGAAATGCTCCCAAAGTGCCACGGTGTCTGATGTACAAAGATGGGTTTATTTTTTTCATCCATGCTGCCCTGTTGGTGATAGTGAATTGAGTTTTGTCTGTGTTAAACCATTGCCTTGTTCCATAAACAAGCTATGCCCTCTGAAAAACGCTCAATACTTACTTGAGAAATATCACCCCGTACATGTATAAATACATATTCTGATTATATTGGGTGATTTGGAGCTGTTTCACTTGCAAAGTTGCCTAATTTGTGGCAGCGCCTGGCTTCACCTAACGTAGTCAGTTTGGTGTCACATGTTGAGGAGTAACAGAAGTCGTGCGTCAGTAGCGCATCGTTAGACCCGGCTCGCGTGCAGTGAAAGCGGCATAAATAGAAGGCTGTGGATGCATCATTCCCCGTGCCCTTGCGATATTCTTGTATTTTCCATCGATGCAGACGTCACGGGTTCCAGATGAAGGGGGGTGGGGGCCAGTGGGACTTCCAAATTGGAGGTCGCTGGCTGCATGTGCCGTGTGTGTGTAACTGAACCCTATTAACACGGCAACGGAGTGTTTGGAATATACCGAGGTGCACCGCAGCAACTTGCACGGCAACACACCTTCCGCTGGGTGTGTTCAAGGTGCCCTACTGTTAAAAAGGGAGTTAAATGGAGTTGTCTTGTGAGGCATATTTAGTCGTTGGAATTTGTTATTTCAATTCTTTGATTACCTAGGAAACCCTGACTTGAGTTTTAAGATCTTTTTCGCGCGGGGGTCGTGCGTGGAGTTAATTGGCCACCCACTAGAGTTTTGCAGTTGAGGGGGTATTGTTATTATGGATTTTTCCAATTTTACCCATTCCCGTATCGATTACTGTATGTGTACGTCACCAGTTTTTTTTCTCCCAATTCCGTTCAAATGACGTACGTGTACTTAATCAAAACGAAACCAGAAGGAAAACTAAAATAAAATAACTTTATCGGTACCGAGGCTTCCACAAGGCCATGCGGGAGGGCGTGTGGCACAGTTTGGCACCAGCTAGCATAGTGCGGTCTTGTCGCTACCGTCCTCTGCAATGAGTACAATGTCTTTAAAAACAACGGTGCTATGCTTCTCTAAATCAAATTAACGCTGAGCCACTCGCGCGTTCCGAGATTGGGAGATGAATGGGGGGACCCAACCTGCAACTTGCAGTTTTCTCGGGACGGGAAAGGGTTGAGTAGGCTTGTGCCTGGAGCGCGCTCGGGATGGGGGTGGCCATTATGCTTAAGACTGCTGTTGTGGGCTTTCTTTGGGTGCAATGGTTGGCGGCATAGGGCAGTGCAGTACAATTCACCAACCCCCACTGACCCCCAATTATAGTCGAATAACCCCCACAAGCAGCGTTAATTACATTTCCATTTGTCGTTTGTTAAACTTGATGCTGCTCCGAAGCCTGGGTGTATCGATGTAATGTGCTCTCTTTTTATATATATATTTCAAAAAAAATCTGTGCTCATGTGAGTACTGCACATGAAACAAATGGCAATACATAACAATACAAGTAGAAACGGGTCATTTTATTTTATGCAGCGTCATTCATGCGAGTTGCATTTGAAAAACACCGAACGTTGCGAACCGCATTTTGATCTAAACAGGGAGGGGGGACGAAACAACAAGAAGACGACTGGTGAAACAACACACGCGAGGCAAAGGGCACGGAGCTAAACGTCACACGGACTGTGCGGGGCGACCAGCAGACACTCCCGCTTTGCCTGCACCCCACCAACACACTGAACAGGCGCAGCTTAGTCCTTTAATTGGCGACTCGTCTTTGACCTTGCGTTTAGAAGTTTGCGCTGTCCACATGACGAGCAGAGAGACTGTGAAAGGATGCTGTGCTTTCCTTTGCACTGCAGGAGGCTTGGCGCAATCCTTGGGTCGGAAGTTATATTAAGGAAACAAGACATTTGCTGCTTTAATTATAGTTAGTGCTGAAAGGAACCTGCCAATGTTCCTCTGTCCCACGTCTTGCTGGTGATGTTTAACAGTCCCGGGTCGTGAGTATCGCCTTGCCTGTGTGTGCGTGTGTGTGTGCGCTTCTCCGTGGTATTCCGGCGGATTTGTTACTGTTGCCCTGTTATTTTTAATGGTTTATTTTTACGAGCTGCTGGATAACCCCAGGTTACAATACCCCCTCGGCCCAATTGGCTTGAGTTTTGTCTCTGCTGTTTACGTTCTGTTTCAAACGGGAAAAAAAAACTGGGACTGTCCATCTTCTGCATCGCTCGTGCTATTGATACTCTTGCTTTTTTTTTTGCCCGAATACTATCTTCATAACCATCATCTAGCCAGAGTTGTTTACAGCCTTCTCCCCATTGACTTCCGGACATTGTCTAAAAGCACATGACAACGTCTGTCTCCACTCGCCATCATCACAGTTGGAACAAAAATAATCCAGCTATGCATCTCACGCTGAGAATCATAGCTTTTTCTGTGTTGTGAAAGACGAGGGCGTTAGAAAGGTATTTGAAAATAACAGGTGTCCTTTGTTATGGGTTTTTATTTGGCAGGTCCTCATAGTTGTTTTTGCCATGCATCCGTAACACGCATGGGGAAACGTTTACCGAGACCAACGCCTGGAAAATAATCCCCCAGGGGTGACCATGGGATGGCTCGGAGCTCTTTGGTACTGAGTTGGCACCACTGAGATCCGGAGATCAAATCCAGATAGCCGCCTGAGATTTTAAACCAGGTTCTGAATTTATTGTGTCAGCCTGGTCACCATCGACTGGGCTGACACACACACAAACCTATTTCATCACGTAAATTATGTGCTGCACTTAATTTGGCTAAATACCAGCTCTGAGAATTACAATTATCGGTTTAATGAATGGGACAAACATGATTCTTGGTGGCAGAGCGGGTTGGAAATTGCTGCCCCCAACTGTGTGAACCAGAGATCGCTTAAAAGAGATATAGGAGCTCTGATGTCGACTTCTGTGGGTCGTTCTCCAACGCGAAGGGTAGCACTGCTCTGTGACTAATTCCAATGGAATCTTCATCACATGACACCAATACCCACCATTCGCAACTACGTGACGGTGATGTCACCACAGCGCCTGTGCCAGGCCAGGTGCACTTTGAGGCCACGTGAAGTGTCAAAGGCTCGCTTGGTAGGAGCTCACAGGACAGACTCAGCAGGTACCATGGGTTGGCTGACTGAGATGTCTGGCAGATACACCAGCTGTACCTCCTGCTGGACCAATTTTCTGCATATTAGCCGCCCGGCACTCCGCTCGTTGTTGTGAGCATCGCTCCTCTGCTCTTCGTTGTTGTTGGAGTGCGACTGTCTCCGACTGCCCAGTAGCGTCCTTCACGAGCCTCCTCCACAGAGGCCCATCTTGATACTGCTGTACCATTCTTCGGCAAGTCCACTCAGCTCCATATCCTCCCATACCGCATCAGTCCATCTCTTCTCCAGCCCGTGTCGTACCCGTTTAGCCCCCTCTATCCGGCCGAACAGAAGCTGCTTGGGCATGCAGGTTGCATGACACGAAGCTGATTGAACATTCAGGTTTAACCTTTCGGAGAAAAGAGATTCAAAATAAATTCCTGTAATCGGCCAATGCCAAACACCAGATTACACGATTGCTTTGCTGCAATCGTCCTGTTTTCCACCAGCCTCCCAGCTCCTTGTGGGCATTAACAAAACAAAACGCTTGTTTATCTGAAGTTTTTAATGTGTTTATTTTTCTTGTGCTTTTTTTTCAGGCAAACCATTGACTTCCTCAGCAACGAGGGGCATATTTACTCGACGATTGATGACGACCACTTCAGGTCCACCGAGGTGGATTGAGGACAGCAACAAAGTTTTGCGGCTGGCCTTCCCTCACCCGCCTCCCTCCCTGCCCGGCGTGTTGATGTTACGGGGGATGTCACTTACTTACAGACGTTGGACACTTATTTTACCGCCTTCCCCCAAGACAGTTGCTTTTATTTGAGACCAAAATTATGCACCCTCCATCATACAGGACTTGTACTGTTGGCGTTTGAAAATGCGTTTGCCACCACCGCCACATTTGCAGGTTTAAGAACACCATTGTGATTTCGAGGTGGCAACGGACGTTGCTGGCACAAGTGGTCAGGCACGTTGAAGAGAGAGGCGAGGTATTTTTTTTTTGTCTCGCTTGGGTTCCCGCTTAGTTAACGTTTTCTTTCTCTGCAGGGACCCTTTTCCAGGGCTCAGTCGGTTTTGTTCAGTTGATTCTTTATCATCACAAAGCCTATGATCCAAATCTGGAATGCACCCGCCCGATCTCGTCAGAGTCCATCATGCAGGTGTTGTCATCAGAGGGCAGTGCAGCAAAATCTAATGTTGTGCTGTACTTCTATGCTCCCATGTCTCTGTTACCCATTGTCTACACTAACCAGCCTGATGAAGTCCGGTCAAATTACCCACGCAACCCGCACAGCAGCGTGGAGGAGGCTGTCATCCAACAGTGGATTGGCAAAGGGCTGTAATCTGTAAAACTGTAGTAACCCAATCTGGACCATGATATCAGATGCCGTCCCTCCTCTCCACATGGCATATCCATTGAGACCTTTATCCATAGCCAGGGTTGCCACCTGTCCCTAGTTTTCCTATCAGTTGCGTAATAATACCCCTCTTGCCCTGTAGTGTCAGCAAGTGGTTCTTTAACAGTCACTGGTCTCTTGCCCAAATGTGCACGGAGCTTTTGCTCAGCTCCTATTTACAGGTCTGAACCAGTGATGGAAATTCCACATTTCTTTGGGGGTGGTGGGGGTCTCTCCAAAGGAGCACCACTGTTTACTTACCCCCCAAAGTGGTACCTACCCAATCAGGGTTGGAACTCGCAACCTTCCAAACGTGAGCCGCTCGCAACACTGCTGAGCCACCTGGCCAAAGTCGACAATGATGCCTGTGACTTGGAGCCAATCTGAGGCACCATAACATGTTATTGGGTTGCTTTTTTTGGGTGTGGGCTCTGTGCCCATGTGGGTTTTTTTTCCCCACCAGATTAGATGAAGCATAAGCTATCGTGAATCCACCCTGATAGCACTATTAACGTTCATCCTTAGGTCATGTCTTTTAATTTTGCAAACACCCCGAAAGAGAGACTGACACGCACGACTTTTGCTCCCGATAAAACTCGAGACAAATCAAGAACCTTAATTCGCAATTAAAAATTGGATCATTCCGTTTTAAGTTTGACCACGATGTTCCGTCTCGTTTAGTTACCGGTCATGTGCCGCTGTATACGTTTGTAGTAATCTGTTTGCCTTTTTCTTTAAAGGAAAGTCGTTTATTTCATGTTGCCGGATGGGGTTCTGCGTGTCGCCAAATAGCTTCAGCGAGCACGGTAAACTTTGGCGCTGCGTCTGTGTGACGGGAAGGGCTTGCAGCGTGCACAACCGGTGCAGTGCCTCCATTGGCTATGAATGTCAGCTGAATGGTGGCCAAGTCGAGCCCCATAATAACAAATTTAAAAGCTGTCACTCGCAAATGCCTCTGGGCTTAGCGTCACGGATTCCGTTTCGAGCGGCGTGACCCCCGTGTGTTTTAGTATTCGTGGGTTTTGTGTTTGCGGTGCCAGGGCCAGAATTAGCTTGTTTTCTTCCCATGTCTGTTATTTTTTTGTGCGTTGCGGATGTTTTTCACGTTGCGTTTGAATAAAGTTACGTTTATGATGAAATGTCAACGTTATTGGATTGTTGTTTTCAGACGTGTCTGTTAAGGACTCTTGCCTTACGTGATGCAGAACCTTCGTGTGATTGGATACAACAATCTTGCATGTCTGATGAAGACCAAGATGAATAGGTCATCATGGTGAATGCCGTGTAGTCCGCTACACCTGTCTGTTGCTTCATACTGCTAAAATGCCACAGCGATAGCACAGTTGACACCTGACCTCCGAGCCCTGCACCCTGTCTCCCACTGGTCTGGCTTTAGGGTCTTCCCTTTGGCCACTGACCTCTGAATGAAACTCCGATGCCTGTGTCCAACCTGCCTGCAATCCTGTACACACGTCACCCTCTTGAAACCTCTTCAGCGCTTTCATTCCACGTTCTGTTATGGATTTTCAAATTGTTAATTATATTCTCCCATACGATCCTTAATATCCTCGTGCCCTGCTAACTTAATAGGTACCATGATCTTACTGCCTACTATATATTAAAACTTCCACCGTAATACACCAAGAACTCTACAACCTCCACCGTCTCATTTTCCATTGACGCCTGTGATGATTATGCTGAACTCGTCCCTAACAACTACCATCAACTTCCTCTGGGAGCACACTTTAATGCGCCATTGTTCAGTTTCGTTCTCTGTGACTGCTAAACTTTTCAAATACCCGGCCAGGGTTATAACTAATAAACCTGCATCTACCAAAAAATAACAAACAACCATAGTTCTGTTAAGGTTTAAAATATTGGCTTCCATATTGTTTGCCAATTTTTCCCAATTATAACACTCAATATACGTTGAACAGAAAATAACGTTTCGCTGGCTGAGTCTTTCTGCAATGACCAGTCTAAAGAAGTTGTTGGGGATCCTGTGGGTAGACTTGGTCATGACACTTTGCTTAAGCCCAGTTTCATGAACCGGTTGTGGATTAAGCCCGTCCTGCCTCCGACATTGAGCCGATTGTGAGTAACTGATGTAAATTGTACGGATGTTACCTAGGGGCCTGAAAGCTGGCATTTGAAACAAGAACCGGCGAGTTGTTTTGCTGATACTCTAATAAAAAAAAAAGCAAAATGTCCACATTTTAACCTCCAAAAACTACTGCCCATGGATTGGTTTGTTCACTCATAGGTCAGGATCGGCCTACAGTTTACTATTGTAACCCACTGGGCATCTGTGAAAAAAATTGCTTCATAACTCATCGGATTCCTCCAGTCCAAATAAACATTTTCATCCTGATACAGTTCTTAACGTCGGATGGGAAGCTCTTGTAAATATACGATCCCTGTCATCGGTTAAGCTCGCGATGTCCCCCCTCGTGGAGTGTGACGCTCAAGCCTCCGGTCACACCATCGTAGCCAACCGATATTAACCCGGTTGGCTATGTACGGTGCGAAAAAAAGGCTCAACATACAAGAGATAAAGGTGCAGGCCTGCCATTGCTTGCTCACGCCACTGCCGCCAGAAGGGTTTGCGCGAGAGGGAGCCGCTCCCATAGACTGTATTTAGCCTACTCTTCCCATGCTGACCAGATGTCTTGTAAGAGGTGGGTGGCACCCACACTTTACCCCACCACACGCAACTTGCTGACGATCACTCAACCGTGGCGTTTCCCCACGTAAGCCGCTGGGTGAACAGAGGCAGGCAGACAGGCTGATTTAAGAAACATTCCACATTGTACCTGTGCAGTCGTATTCAACCTGATCTTTGCATTGGCTTGCCTATTGGCTTTATTCTGGTCCGACACTGGTGAGGCAAGACCAACAACTATCGTCTGTCTCTTGTGTAGGCCAATCAGTTTCAGTTACAATGCATATATTATCAAAGCATTTTTGCGTGCACGTTTTACCGAGTGTATGTGGTTAATGCAGACTTGATGCCTTGCGAGGGGTGTCTTTGTTTTTCGAGCGTCTTGAACGCCAATGGTGTTAAAGAGTATGTAACACCTGTGGTGTTATTGCCGGCGTGCTAACCGTTCCACCACGGTAGCGTCCCTTCTAAACGAAACTAGTTTTGCTTGTTGCCAGGTAAGGCCCACTGAGTTATATCGCTTTTTTTCAGAAGCGACCTGGCCACGTTCAACAGTTCAACGGGGTGGCTTGTCACATGGAAATGTACAGCAGCAGCCGCATGTTGATTCTAAATGAGTAGGGGAAAACCGGAGAAAAATCCATACGACCACGGGGAGAGAGACACCGCAAACTTCCAATATACCCATAACAGAGGTTTGTTTTTGCGTTAGATCGCTTAAATATAAATGTGTCGTTAAACCCGCCACCACCCGACACAGCCAATTAGTAAGGTTTGTGACGTAAACAAAACGTGCCAATTCGTTACTAGTACAGCAGCACACCGGTGTTATTAGAGAGTAAACCCACTACAACATTTACCATTATAGTGTAGTGTATAGTGTATAGTGTAGTGTATAGTGTAGTGTATAGTGTAGTGTATAGTGTAGTATACTAGTACAGCAGCACACCGGTGTTGTTGGAGAGTAAACCCACTACAAACATTCACAATTCGAGTGAACCGTGACGTTTCGCCGCTAATTGCAACCCGCCTCATCAGGCGGCAGCCAGAATTGTGGATACATCCTCCTGTTTCGTTCGTTCTTATACCGCACAGGCGTCAGGCTCGGGATGGAACCTCCACGGCCTCCTCCCGTATTCACACCAGGCGAGGTCGTGGCGCGCCCTGCCAGGATAGGAGATCGCGCTCGGCAGTTGCGATTATTTTTGTTTGTACAATTTAGTTGGGGCGTTGTTTGGCGAGCCGGGGCGAGTGAGAGTTCTTGCGTTTTTTTTAAATACGATCGAGCACAACAGCGGGAGCGAGCCGGTGACGAACGCGATCATCTCCCCCCCGCCCGCCCGCCCGCTGTCCTCTCGCGGGGGCGTTGGCTGCACCTGGCCGATATTAGCCCCAGGTGCTCAAACAAAACCCACGCGCAAGGTTGCGTGCGCGACGTTTCACAGAGAGCGCGACAGCAGCAATAGTACTAATACACACTCGCAGACGAGCGAGTGAGCGAGCGAACCAATTTGTATTTACGCGGATCCATTTCGCCCGGAATGCTTTGGCCAGCGTGCCAAGCCGTGGCCATAACGCTGCTGGCTTGGCCGGTTGCTGATGGAGGCAGCAACGGGAATAGACGCGGGGGTGGGAGCGGTGGGTGGTGACTTGGGCTGCCGTGTTTACTGCAAAGTGGGGGGGGGGGGGCAATATGACCCCCTCCCCCTCCCGTGGGCTCGTGTGTCACAGCA